AGATAGATAGATAGATAGATAGATAGATAGATAGATAGATAGATAGATAGATAGATAGATAGATAGATAGATAGATAGATAGATAGATAGATAGATAGATATACCCCAAAAGAACGTTTGAGTTTGCCTCTAAAAGGATAACACATTTGTTTGTTTTTATGACAGCAGTGTAACATCCTATAGGGGACTCCAAAAACTGACACTTTCTACTGTGGTACCTAACTTTTAGCCATACTGGCTTGGTTAAAAGTTAAAGTATAAGTCAGTTTGCCAATAACAATCTCATACCTGATCAATGATTTGAGTTAAAACATTAAACAAAGAAATGGTTACACATTGATTCCTAGGGGTCTTAGTGTCTGAAGGAAAGGGAATCAGTTTTATGAAAAGTGTCACCAGTGTTCTTTGGAAAAATTATGTGCATCACAATCCACAACACAAATGTATAACACTGCTTATGTAGTTGCATTTTAGTGTCTTTCTGGAGATAAAAATTCAAACTGATCTTACGTTTAAACATTACTAAAAATAGCTCTGCTGAGTCAGTTTCCTGCAATAGAGGCACTTTAGCCTCATGTGAATGTGAAAGCATTGTAAATTAAAAATAGCAAAGCTAGAGGTTAGTTTTGAATGTACGTGACCTCAGAACTGGGGCACAGCAACTGAAAGCATCCTTCAACTTCCATCTAAACCGGGGAACAGGAAGTAACTTGACCTATTAAATGTATTCTAAACCTATTAGTGAAAATGTTATTAATTTGATAAATACCAATGAAGATGTCATAGTCTTGCTTGCTTATGATCTGATATGAAGCAGGGGAAGTTCCAATGAGGAGAGGGGGATGCTGTTTATTAGAGGGTCATGCTTGTTTCTGATTTTGATATTCATGTAGATATACCAGAGATACTGTTGTCACTGTTTCCAAACCCTCCTGAAGCATCTCTTAAGCAAGACCCATTTTTATATTGAACTGCTTGTTTGGCTGAGGCAAATGTATCAGAAATGTTGCAGTTTTTTAAACAGCAGCCATTTCGAGTTCTTTGTCTCAGTTACTTGAGAATGAGTTGAGCTTTACGGCTGTCATTTTGATTTAGTTGCTATGGGAATATTTCTTAACTACAATGTGCAGCTTTAATTGGAAAACTGTAGTAAAACATGTTGATTAAGAGGGTATAGTACTGTTGGAGATTTGCTGACGTATAAATGATCGTCAACCTTCCTCATTTTTCGGAAAGAATTCTTAAGATAACAGCTTTGTGGAACAAGTTTGCCACATGGACCTATTGTTGTTTGGCTGCTTTTAGGGAGCAGGCTGCCCTGTCAGTTTCTCTTCAACTGAGACACCAGCAGAAAGGTGAAAGCAAACATGCATCTACGTTCTCACTCTGTTCCACTTGAATCACTGACGCTGACATTTTGGAAACCCCTCTCGGGCTCCAGGGGCTTTGAAATCCACGATGCCGCAGTGTTTTCCTTTCTTCCTTTCCTGTTTTTTTTTTTTTCCTCCGGAGAGAGGGCATGTTTGTTTGAGAGCCAGGCACCAATAGAAGGATCTCAGTTCAAATAATGGGTGGAAGTCTTTGGGGCAGAGGTTGAAATGGAGTTTTTCCATCCATCCTCCCTGCTGAATTAAGTTTGTATAGCTCTAGAGAATGCTGCCAGATGAATTGGACTCCTCTCCCTGAACTCTCTCATATGTGAAGTCCGATCACATCAAAGGATTCTACCTTACCGCGGTCTGTCGGCATGTCACTAAGTGGAAGAGTTCTATGTTTTGTGTCCATATGTGGCCCAGAGGACATGCTGATGTTAGAGGTGGCACAGAACTGCTGTTAAAAACATTCCCGGCTTTTTCTCATTTCCTCTCAACAGCCTCCCACACACACATGCTGCCAGCACCTGGCTGAGCCACCACACTGTTTCGTGATGGTCTTTTTTTTCCCCTTTAAATTCCATATGACTCTAAAGTTTTTTTTCTGTATGCTTTTGTCCCCAAATGAAATACGGCCAATGACAATTATAATGAGACAATGAGAATACATTAGTCACAACTCAAGTCTCTATTTACTTCAGAAAGCAGAGGGCATTTGCCTGTTGGTAGATTTGATATTTTTGCTTAAAATCGGTTTGAAAGCTCAAAACAATCTCGTCATACCACAAAATCCCCAAATTGTTTATTTTTAATTGCTTTTGCTCAGACGTAGAGAACCAAACCCCTTTTTGAAACCAGATTCCAACAGATATGGCGGAGAGCGCAATTTTTTTCATTACATAACAGCACTTAATTTTCAATTTTGTGACTAATTCTTTACTACTGTCATTTAATTTTGCGTACTTGTCAGTAAGGTGTGAATGACATGCATACAACTACCCAATGTCATGGTTGGCTTTTGCTTTTTTTCCGACTAATATTGGCATCAATTTGGAAATATTCGGTGTCACAAGATCTTTGGGAATTCCTGCAAAAAAATGCATCTAAATTCTTTGAACACTTGGAGGTACAAGCCATACATACGATGGAATTCAGATGTGACCAACATGCAAAGAGACTCTCTTGAAAAAAGTCGTGACCGGATGATCCAGGAGGCAACAAAGGAACTCTAATTTTCAGAGGTCCCCTCTGAAAATGAGAGGTTCTTCCTAAGATACCCTCTGATTGGTGGATTTACTGGAAATTTATTAAGGAATTCATTTCCTCTAGTACAGCTTTTTTCTCCGAATTTATGATAACTTATCAATAACAACACAAGATCTTGACCTTTCTGATCCTTTTTGATCCTGAATGTAATAGTGAGTGAACATCGACAATGAAGATGCTCCTTCCTAATTGTGTGGGTTACTTGAAATTTTCATATTCAACTTGATGAATGAATCTTGAAAAATGTATGTAGCTGGATTATTTAGGGAGGGAAACAGTGTGAAATGACTGAAAGTGCAGTGGAATTTGTCTCTGGTGAATTAATCTCTCCTTTCCCCTGTTCAGGCTTACGTCCTCTTTCCTCTGGGTCCGGACTAATGCAATATGTCTTCCTTGATAAATTGCAGCCAGTGCAATGATATTAAAAAATATTGTAAAACATGTCACCCACTATCTTTAGTACAGCTCTATTAAACCCAATGGATTTTCTGTGCATGGGCACCGAAACAGATTTATTTATTTATTTCTTTCTTTTGATACAATGAAATTGACTATGATGGCTTTCAGCCATTCTCCAAGATAGTGGGTGGTCGTAAGACTTTTATTTCCTCGCACTCACACACACACAGCGTTATGCTCAGGCATTCGGTAGCTCGCGGGCTCAGTTGCTGGATCCTGATCTGTGGTCCTTCTCTCCAGTTTCAGCACGCTACTGTTTTAACAAGGGGAGAGTGATTAGCAAACTGATTCCAGGCGTGCCAATCACCACCCCTGGCACTGCTCCCCTGAGCCTTCCCCACACCTCCCCCCTTGCCGCTGACCACCACGCCCCTTCCACAATGGCCAATTTCTAAATATGGCCCTAAAGGCACAATGAGTCACCCAGCATGATTTATGTGATTGCGATCCAAGTCTGTCAGGTTGAAATTGTCTGCCAGGAGCTACAGTCACCACCAATCCACAGCTCATCAAACCAAACACAGCGTTCTGCTGCACCATATAGGCCAGAAAAGACCAGAATCCTTTAAGTCATTATTTTTCTCGCTAAGATTTGTTTTTCTCGTCAATGAGGTGGAAGCCTAATGAGAAGCTCGATGGCATCAGTGCCTTAATATGTTTGCTATCTTTAGAAAACGCAACAGGGAGCTTATATGATTTTCATGGGATATGTAATTGTGCTAGCCAGCTCAGATAGCTGTTGAGACAGAAACACTGGCTGTGACATATGTGCACTGTAGGAGTTAAACAGCAGACAGCAGACATCAGTTTATGAGGTAACCAGAGCTTTTGTTTTTCACCCCTTTGGAGTTTACAAGGTTACAAAAGTTTGTTTAATTCTGTGGGCTCCACTAAAATCCAGAGGTGTAAAATATAAATCCTAAGAAATCAAATTTGCATATTCTAAAAATATACACAGTAGTATCCAACTCACCACCAACTTGGCATCACTTGTCTGCAACCTAAAAAGTTTTGGGCTTGATTTGTTTTTTTGTGATACTATATTCTAAAAATATTAAAAAAAGAATAAATAAAGGTTAACCAGAAACCCCCCAAAACTGGACATATCATCTACCCTAGTGGTGGAGTCAGACAGGCTTTAATCAATATATGTTTTTTCTGTGTAGGTTTACAGGGGCATGGCAAATAGCTTATTAAATTACCCAGTCAAAACTATGAGCAGCTAGAGTCAATCAAGTGTAGCTCGGAATTTGCAAGTTAAAACATCAGCTTGTCACCTCCACTTAAACTAGAGGCATGTCATTGTGAGTTCCAACTGGATCTGTTGTCACCATACTTTGCTCCCATCTCAGCCTGTGAATCCTCCTCATGGATATATTATAACAGCAAAGTGCTGATCCCTGTCCTGTCAATTTGGTTTTATTTCTCTATTTATTGTGCCTGTACATACATCATTGCACAAACTGGTGAAGGATTTTGTTTCTCTGGTCAGAAGAGCTTTATGTAAAAATGCAACGTGTTAAAGATACCACATGTGCTTGGTGTCTTCGTGTGCTAGAATAGCACAATGTTTAAAAAAATTATAAACAGTTTTATTTAAAGGCAATAATGGTGGATATTAACTTTCATTGCTTCATTAATGCTCCAAAAACTTGTTTCAGTTCAATGAGCCCAAGCGGTTTTTGTCACATTGAGCATTTCACATCTTGTGAGCAACAGCAAACCTGGACCTGTAGAGGATTTAGGAGTAAATAAGATTGCAGATCATATGTATGCTTTTATATACCGGTACATGTAAATGGTACATACACGTGGTCAAGCAAAAAAAACAAAACAAAACAAAAACAGTGTATTCTCCATCCTATCAAAAATCCCCAATGGAACATTGCAGTATTTAGCTGCGAGAGGTCAACTTCAATCTTCAGTCTGTCATCAAACTTGACATCTTGACTGCTAACTCTTGGGTAACTGCTCTCTTTCCAGGCAAAACAGCCCATTTTTAACCATCTGTTTCTCATGAAAAATGATCCATGACTACTATTATGAACTATCAACTGTGAAAGGTTTATAGACTAATTTCCTGGAAATTAAGTGGAAGTCCTCCACTTAAAAAACACCACATCTGCAATGAGCGAGGATGAAAATCTCAAGGGGCATAAATAAAAAGTACAGCTGAACAAAGTTCTTTGTTTGGCAAAGATAAAAAGCTTGGTAAAGCATCAGTTTACACTCTGAAATGTTCCACTTCACCACTACTTTAAAACTCAGATTTGTTTTTTGTCTCTTTTAAAACTCTTTCTTACCTCTTGTACTTTATGATTAGATATGTGTACTTGGCAAACATTAATTAAGTACATTTCATAGATAGGTTTTGAAAATATTTGTTTATGGTTAGGAAAACAGTTTTTAGGCATTAAAGTGTGCAATTAATGCATGTCTTTGCTAAAAGTTTTTGAAAACATACACGTTGACACTTGGACTGTTCACATAGAAGTTAGTTGCATGGGTAAAGATATATGATGATTTTGAGTAACCCGGTGTCTTGCTAATGGTGTGGGCAATTGACTGAGCATCTCTCTGTGACAGGTTTGGTGTAACAACAGGCTTTACAGAGAGAAAATTGTTTCTTCGAGATCCTGGGACTGGGACAATGTAGAATTTTTATTAGCAATACAGACCTGAAGTATGAAGACCAGGACATGTTGTGTATAGTTAGTTTAAAATCTTTATACTCCAATCAAAAGTTAATTGACATTTTGTAGATTGATTAGAATAAGCATTTACAAAGATGTTTGCCTTTGCAAGAAACAGCATAAAGCGGTCTTCCTTTCTTCCTCACATCTTGTGCAGCTGCCTGTAAAGATGCCAAGAGGGCTTTGGAGGTATCCCAAAATGCAGAGGACATGGGTTTGATCCTGGGTGCCTGCGCCGGAGGTCTTGTTGTTCTCATTTTGCTGCTGGGAGCCATTGTCATCATTGTCAAAAAAGGGTGAGTATCTGTTTCCAGCCAATGAGTTAGATCATTAAGCAGTTTTATCCAAAGGTTTTAATGTTTGTGGTAAGCTTTCAGAGTCAATTCATCACTTTCCCACTTGGAAGAAAGGTTCTCCTGAGGAAAAAGTGAGGGAAAGTGTCTTGCAATGAGTGTAATTTATAACCTGAGTTCGTGGAATGGTAGAGCTTTAAATTCTTTCACCACTGCCATGCCTTTGTGTTCATCTCATCTTTTAATTTCAAGGTCTGCATGTTAGCTAAGCACATTTAAATGCAGTCTGTTCACACTGGAGTCGCTGGCTGCTTTCCACTTGCAAATTACCTCTGTAGCCTATTTCACCTGTAGTGTATTCTTCTCTGCTCACTGGGCATTGGAGGAACGCTCGTCTGACTGTGAAATATTTCATCAAGGGGCATGTTATTCCATTGCCCACTCAATTACATGAGGCAAGCAGCTGTGAGGTGCCAGTGGATGGGCTAGTAAATGGTTAGGAAGGTTGTTTTTGTGATTTTTTTTCTTCTTTTTTATGGATGGAAGGGGGCTCAACCGCCCAGAGGAATTTTTCCCATTGAAAGTGAGGAGATGAAATAAGGGGACCTCTGGCAGCAGGCTGTGAATGATAAGATTCACTGAACCAATCTAGAAAGTACAATGAAAACCTGACTGGCTCATCAGAGCTGCAGAGGCTGATATGTTTATTTTTAGCCATAAGCCATACCGTATTTGTTTACGTGACCTTGGATATGTAACCCCCTGTTCTGTAACATTATAACATATGCAAAAGAATACAATATCATATCATGATATTGAATATATACTCAACACATTTTTGGGGTTTTCCCCAATGTTAATCTTTTTTTTTGTGTGTGGTTTGACCTCTCAGGGCCACCATATCTAACCAAACATTCAATTCTTTGTGTGATTTGATTATTTAAATGTGTGCTTTTTTCTGACTCTCTGGATCATTTCACCTTATTCCGTGTTATAGATAATGTTGAAAAAACTTTGCAGTATTACACTGAGATATTTCTTCTTTTTCGTGTTTGTCATTGGTATTTATTTTCTTACAGAGATTAACACATGTTTAGTCAAGACTAAGTCTTTGATGGATGCTCCTTTTCTAACTAATCCTGACACCTTAACCTCTCAGTGGTAATCTAAACACAGGTATGAGGGTTTTGTTTTAGAACCCCCCTCCACAAGCTTTCATGAAAACCGAGCGGTGTACATTGACAAAATTGAATATTTGAGTAGTTGCCATCACAGGGGATTCCAAATTTGATGATGTTATCTGAGAGGATGTACGATCCCATCCTAAAATTGAGTTAATTTCAGTGAGATCAGGTGGGAATATTGGATTATCGCTACAGGTAGAACTCACTGAGACTGATAGGATTTCATATTAACCTCATAAAATTTAACATTACTGTTTGTCTCTTACATGCTTATCCATATCTTACTTAATGCCTCGATTCATAACACCAAACTGGGAACATTCCAACACACTCCATATTTATCTCTCTAAAGCCCATCTGGATGAACCATAGTCACCTTTTTTCTTTTCACTCTCTTTCTTTCTCCTTTTCCTCCTCTTTCATGCTAATCAGAAGGGACTTCTATTCTTACCCTTACTATCCGTAAGTGACTCGTTTCGCCAGTCTTTCTTCATTTTTACCCTATTTGCCCTTTTGTAGCCCAAGAAGTTCCCGTATAAAAATTAGCATTGCCCCCTCTTGGCTCGTCTTCCAGTATCAACTAGGCAACCCTTACATTCCTCCTCAGACTCCCCTCTTTTTTCTAACCCCAAAAGAAATCTCTTCCAGTCACAAAACCTCCCTTTTCCCCTTGTGCAGTTTCAATTTTGTCATCCCCGATATATCGTCCCCAGTACATTTTCTCATCTCTGCAACCGCCACCTTTCTCCCTTATCTTTTTTTTCTGTCCCTTCTCTGCTTTTCTCTGTTTATAACTGCTCTCTGCCTCTCCTTCTATCCTTCCACCTCTCTGCCTGCTTCTCTACAGTAGGAAGAAGGTGGCCATAAACAAGGCGGCCATGTCCTACAGGCAGGAGAAGAGTCGGAAGCTGAGCTCTTTAGACTGCAGCATGACAGAGCAGAGCACTCTGCAGCAGGATGAGAGGATGGCCCACTCCTTCATGGATGCCCACGGCTGCAACGCTCGCAGTAAGACAGCTACGAAAAATATGGGTAGAATTGAGAAAAAACGTCTGGAGAGGACACAGCTCCCTCCTGCGCTACCTTCAACTATGTTTACTCTCAACCATGTATGCGGTCTGTACAGCCTGAGCACAAGGTGCTCTCAGCAGAGAAACCTCTTGTCTGGTTGAATATTGTGCTGCACCAGTCAGCCTTCTGCATCTCAGCAGAAATGCTGACTTATATTTCTCTTCAGCTCTCCCCTTAGACTTATTTACATTATTGAAAAAAACTGAAAAACCAAAAACAATTCAATTCAATTCAATTTTATTTATATAGCGCCACATCACAACAACAGTTGTCTCACAGCGCTTTCCAAACAGAGCAGGTCAGACCCTACTCTGAAGTTAACTACAGAAACCCAACAATTCCCACCATGAGCAAGCACTAGGCGACACAGGCAAGGAAAAACGTCCTTTTAACAGGCAGAAACCTTGAGCAGAACCATGGCTCAGGGTGGGCGGCCATCTGCCTCGGCCGGTTGGGGGTGAGGGGAAAGAGAGAGCAAGAGAGAGAGAGAGGGCGAGAGAAGGACAGAAGGAGCAGAGAGGGGCAGCCAACACAGCAACACGTAGAATAGATTAAAAATGGCAATGATATTAATGCTAATGATGAGCAGGAACATGGGGGCAGCAGGAAACTCCCAACCACAGATCCAGACTCCACAGCTCTAGGAACACCTGCAGGAAGTGTTCCTGCAGTGTCCACAATGTCAGTGGCCTGCTATGAAAAATGTGTTTTTGTGTACCCAGATGAGCAGCGCAGCTCTGTCAACGAGTCCAGCAGCTTACTGGGAGGCTCACCCCAGCGTCAGAGTCGGAGGAAGAGCTCGCCCTATCACACAGGCCAGCTCCACCCTGCTGTAAGGGTGGCTGACCTCCTCCAACATATCAACCAGATGAAGACAGCCGAAGGATATGGCTTCAAACAGGAGTATGAGGTGAGGAAGTAGGACACCGTGCGATGCCATGCCAACATTTATATCAATTAAAATGCTTGTGCAGTACTTATCTAATTGGTTAGATATGTTATCCTAAGTGGATGCGTTTGGAGCTGTCGTATGCGAGTCCCAGCAGAGTATAGTAGATGTAGTAGAAAAAAGTACTGTATGTTACGTAGGGCTGCAACTAACAACTATTTTAATAGTCGACTAGTCACCGACTATTGAAACGATTAGTCGACTAATCGAATAGTTATCCACTTTTTCTTAAAAATAGCATAAAGTTGCTTTAGTTAAGTGGAAAATGATAAACACAAGAAAAATGGGTACTTCAATGAAAAATGCATCTTTTATTCAACTTTGCAGCTGATACAAAACGTAAATAAGAATGCGTTTGTCAGGCACAGTCAGGCATAACGTTAAAGCTCTCTTTTAAAGTGAAAAAACGCTTAGAAAATGTATAACGTACATAAAAGACAAAACATATTAGCATTATTGTTGCTTAAATCTTACCGAGGCGAGTCAGACTCCGTTTCATTTAAGTGCCCAACATGCTTTCTTTTTAAATGCTCATGCATCACCGAGGTGCTGCCGTGTTACGCAAGGTCTGTTTTGCAAACCTTGCACGTAATTTTTTTTTACTCGTTGTATCAAGGATAAAATGCTCCCAAACTTTGGAAGTTTTTGTACGCGTGTTGGACGCCGCCATTTCTGTAACCGCGACGCTGTTGTGCAGGTGACTCTGGGCAGATTGTAATTAAGTGAGATGTCTCACTCTGTTGGAAAAACACGTCTGGCGACGATAGTCGACAATGGAATTCATTGTCGACTTTTTCTATTATCGATTTTTGTCGACAACGTCGACGAATCGTTGCAGCCCTAATGTTACGGAATTCTGAAGTTGACTGCCACATGTTGTCTTATCCTATGGAGGAGCTGCTTTTCAAATATCTGAACAAGTTGATACTGGTTCCAATAAAAGGTTTCAGAGCAAGGAGAGAGGGTATCCTGGAGGATCTACTTTACATTTTCTTTAGTGCCAGTGTTCGATGTCTGTACCAGCAAGGGCCTATACAGGGCAGTGTGTGTGATGCTATGGGTGATGAGCTGCTGGGAAAATCGCTTCTTCCATTTACATGTGTGTGACCTTGACACACGCTGGCCATCTAAGCATTGTTGCTGAGTACACCCCCTCAGAAGATACCTCCTTCAGCACAATAATACATCTTCTCACAGTGCTAAATGGAAATCCATGGAACTTCTAAAGAACACAGCAGTGAAGGTGCTGACTTGACTTTCAGAGCCCTCCTCAGGGAGTTCAAACCTTTGCTGATTCTGCTTTGTTTGGTAGCCCTTTTCATAGTAAAAGCGCTCCCAAACACCTGATAACATGAAAAGAAGAAAAAGTAGCGGGAAGAATACTGCAGAAATTCTTGATATGTTCTAAATGATCTGAGCACCACTGATACAGTATCTTCTTTCAGCAGGCAGAAATGACCTTTTAATATTCATGAACAATCAGTAAAATGCATTTTTGCTTTATTTGCATTACAGAGTTAATGCAGCTATATTAGGCTTTCTGGTGCACCTTGGATTAATTATGTTTTTGAGCTTTCCCTTTCGGCTCTTTTTTCCCTATCACAGGAACTTCTCTACATCAAACGGTTGCGATAAGTCTTTTTGCACCTCCACCTGCAGGACGCCAGATGCACTTTTTCGATTCATTAAGCCATCCCCAGAGGGCACAACAAATTTCTATCCACCAAAATCAATATACTGGTCGCTTTTTCACTCCTCGGTGTGGCTTCCCATCGCCTGGAGAAATAAACAAGATGAAGGGGATCAGCGTGCACACTGCTGTCAGACTTCATAACCCTTATTTCCCACTGGGTCATGGTGCCTTTACCATTGATCAGACGCATTTCGAGGCATTGTTGGGGGGCAGTAGATAGTCCTGGCTGTGTAGTTTGGCTATAGTCTGTGCAACATCTGGAGTAAGAGATGAGTGATTGGAAGTGGGTCACCGTCCGTGAGCTTTCACAAAGGGAGTTTTGCAGAGTATAGATTCAGCTGTGCAAGGAAAGTCAATGTCCAACAAAGTTGGAGAATAAAAAGGACTCAACTCAAACATTAGAATTTCTAATATACTGTATTTCTCCTCATACTTGTAGACATTTCAACAACCTTCTCCTGTTTTCCTGGTATGTATATATATATATAGAAAGACAGACATCAGAGACCAGGGATAACGCAACTTTTGCATACATTTTATTTTTATGGTAATTCTAAGATTCAAGTTTTATTTGCAACCCTGACTTTTCTTCACATGAATTTAATTGAAGATATCAGACTTGAATAGCTAAAATTGACTGTTTCACACTGCAGCAGGCAGGAAGCTTTCACCAGCATAATCTCTAATAAATCCACCAAACAGCATGGAGATAAAGGAAGCTGGTTTACACAGAGGAGCATTCAGTGGCTTTAGAGTTACTTGAAAGGATATTTAAAACTGGATCTTAATCTGGTGGTCACAAATGCAGCTCCAGTGATCCACTACGTTGCTTTATCTCTGAAACTCACATTGATATTCTGAGATGTACTAGGATTCAATTATGGAGACGTGTGTTTATCATTGCTACCTTGTATATCCTCATAAATTAACACTTCGGCTCTTTAACCCTTTAACATTCTGCTTATTCATTTGGTTATAATTATACTCGGTAATAGGATATACTAGAAGAAGTGCACTTACCTAAACTAGCTACAAAATGAAGTTTAGATATATGATGCCTGAATTAGGCTTATTAAATGTTTTTTATTTTGCACTTTTACCGTGAAGTTTCAACCCAACAATGTGTAAACAAGGCTTAATTGTGGTTTTCATTGCTTTAAAGAAATTTAAGAATCCAAAGACATATTTTCCCACCCCAAGTATAGATGAAGTTAAGCGTATGTAAAACAATTCTGACCAGATCTATGATCATAGGGGTCGGTACAGGCAAAAATGGTATGAATTTTTAAGATAGAGTCTATGTTTGTGAGCAAGTGTGATGAAATATATTGTGGTATGTCTGGAAGGAAAGAGAATAAAATAGCAGTTCATAAAACATAAGTGGCAGTTAGCCCTGAGATCTTAAATGCTGAACAAGTAACAGTTTTTCAGTCACTTGTGGGTGTGTTTGTCTGGGTTGAAGGGGGTAATATGAACATTTTTTGTGTCAAGCTTCTGTTATTTGGCAACATTTTCAAACAGTAAAGTCGGATGCAGACACATTCAGCTTCGCTTGGTAAAGCATGTTAGCCTTACTTGATAAATAATACATGTAGCCCACTACCGACAACTTGAAGGATTTCTGAACTTCACTTTTGATGATTTATTCCTGAATTCCTAAATCTCAAAGGGAGCTTGTTTTTGGTATTTGGGATCTAATTTTTGGTACTGGTTGATGAGGTAAATAAAGCTCCACAGGGATAACATAGTAATTTCTTAAACTGACAGGGGTGCTGAACAAATTCAAATCAGTGAAACGATTGAAGATTGCTTGCACGTGATTTGACGGTTGTTTTAAAGTCTGATCCCTGAGTCTCTGGTTGGAGGATGTGTTATCTGTATATAGATACAGATAAAGCATTTGACATTAGACATTAGACACTGAAAAATATTCAGGTCAAATCAGTCATCAGGAGGCAAACATTTAAACTGTTTTTGTTTTGTTTTTTTGCTCTTCTGCTGCTCATTCCTCACAAGCGGGATCATTTTAGATTCTGCAAGTCGAGTCACAACAGCAGCAGATTTTATCCATGGGTTTTTTGCTGTAAACAGCTGTCACAGATTTAGCTGCGGAACACGACAAGCCTGACACTGCATGTAGAATGACTGGGACTGCAGCAGGCCACCTCCCTGTCAGGTCTTCCTTGCGTGCCATCTCTCAGCTTTTGTATGTTCCCGCTACGCTTCAGCGATGTCTGCAGATGTCTGCTGGCGACTTGGTGGGATGCTGTGATTCAGAAGCCACTCAGGGTGACGCTTATCTCAATACTTTATGCCGTAACAGCTTCGACACGTACCACAAGACGGGCTGCAGTCTGTTTGTTATTCTCTAACTTGTCATTCTCAACTTTTGCAGAGTTTCTTTGATGGCTGGGATGTCACCAAAAAGAAAGACAAGACCAAAGGAAGGCATGACAGCTTGCTCAGTCGTAAGTATTCACAAATTCTTGGAAAGAAAAAGGGAGAAGAAAATGGTAATAAAATGGTTTAAATAAAGTTGAAAATTAGTAACTTAAATTGATTTTTTCAAAAGAACAAAAAATGTCCATACTCATAATCAATGTGTAGTTTAACATCCACTTAGGTTTTATAATCTTTTCTTGGAAATAAAATATTGTTTTATGAGATTTTTCTAAAAGGTGGCATTTTAATCAGTGTCTGTTTTTGAGCGTATTAATCTACATTGACAAAGGTTAGGAGAACTGAGCAGACATTCAGTTGCTTTCTTTTTTTTTGCAAGCTAACTGACAGCTTCCTTTTTATTTCAGATGATCGCCATCGAGTCAAGCTCCACTCGCTGCTTGCGGACCCCAGCTCTGATTATGTCAATGCCAACTACATCGATGTAAGAATCCTTTTTGTTTTCCAGCTATTTTGTCTCCTCTGTATTTGCTTTACTTATCTGTATTGTTTTGTCTTGACCCAATACTACAGCAGACACCTCCATACTCTTTATTTCTAACTATCCCTTAATTACTGTCCCATCAAAATAGCACTGCCTTTTTGTGGGTGAGCAGACATAGCCTGTTGGGTTACAGTTTATCGCAGTTCGTAGTAAGTCCATATATCCTGCCAGAGCCCATAAGCCAAAAGCAGTGGGCCTCATGACTCACCTAAATGCTTTTTCAAGGTAACACTGGACCCAGTATAACTATACTGAGCCCTTTAGATACTTTGATCCCACGAACAGTTCAGCTTGAGTGAGTTTATAAGGTAGAGTATCTCTAGTGCCAGCAGCAGTTTGCACCCTCATGAGATCAAATCTTGAAGCTCTCCCATTAGATGGTCCAACACTGTCTGAAGGAGTCACTTTCTCCTCTTCCATGCCCCTATTGGAAGAGTTACCTGAATCGTGCCTCTGTTTTTTCACCACAGCTTACAAGAGTCTATAATTGTCGGAATCTTGCATTAGTTCCTCCCTTTCTGCCAAGGAAAAAATAAAAATGTAATGTGGACAGAAGGGGACAGTTAAAGCTCATTGGGTTTTGTGAGGGCCTTAGTGCTCATAAGTGCCCCATTAGAGCAAATGCTACTTAGACCTTTGTGCCGTTAATTGTGCCATCTACAGCACCACCCACATGTCTTACCAGGACCTTTAGCTCACATCACTGCTGTGGAAAAATTCCAAATTATTCATGGAAGAAACCTAAGATGGAATAATTCTAATTGAGCATTTTTCCTCCTGAAAGGTTACACTTGAATGGGCCTGCTGTTCTTTACACTTTCTCATGTTGGTTCAAATCATTTTTCTTTGGCAGGGGTGACAATCAGTGACATTTTTCTATCAAATCTTTAGAGAGTCCTTTAGTCTGTTCTTGATAGATCTAACACAATGGCAAGGCAGGCCATTATGAAGAGGCGTTGCGTTTGCTGTGCTAAGCACTACAGCCAGATCGTTTATGGTTGCTCCGGTGCTTAGAATTAGGTGCAAGTCAGGTGTGATAGTTTGGAGAAACAAAAAATGGAAATGAGCATGAGATTGGTTGCCACTGCTGAGTAGTACAGTCTGAAAGTCCTTTATTTCTCTCAGTTTCAGATGCTTAAGTTCAGAATTCAGAGCAGCAGAGATATATATTGAATATACTTTATTTATTGATCTCCAGGGAGAAATTGACTTTATGTCCAGTTCCTCTTTCATAAAGTAACCCTTAAAGACAATTCTTGCTCATCAACTTGAAAGACACAGCGTTCAACAGCAATTTTGTCATTTTGGCCTTCCTGTGCTGTGTGCAACTGACAATCATAATCTTTTTTGTCAATATCTTTTTGGTAATAACATGCATTTAAACACACAAGGCTTTTCCACTGGAAAATAGAAACAATTTATAAAACTATTAAACCAATTACATAAGGATACTGATTGACAACCGCAGAAGCCATTAATTTTGTACCAAAAAAGATAATAAACTGGAAATAAATTTGAAAACGAAACTTTTTGAATGAAAATTTTAAATGGAACTTGTTAATAAGAATCCAAAGACATGACCTGGTCCTGTTTAGTAATACCATTTTACACTTGTCTCAATAAAACACAATTCTCTCTGCAGATTATGTTCAACAATGTGGCCATGATACTAGGTCTTAGCTAAAATTTGTCAAGCACACAACAAAACATTTCTGCGAGGCATCTGTAAAATGTCCCAGGGAAAAAAGTGGTTATGGCATATGCTGCTACAGTTTTATCTTATCAAAGAAAAGTTTAATACCATTTTACAGGTTCCTCCCCTTGTTTCAGCTCCTCTATTTAAGAGGTTTAAGGGGTTTGGTTACCACTAAAAGATAAGGGGGCATTAGTAAATGACGAAAGAAAGGTTTGGACAAAGAGAGGGCGACAGAACCCAGTCTTTTGCTTTGTTTTAAAGCTTGTTCTTATGTCGTCCTTCCATCCGAGGCCTACTATGAAACCTTCCCCCTATAGTTAAAAAGTGGATAGTCAGTCCATCATCATCAGGAAGAAAAAAAGCACAATGCAAAAAAGGACATTGTATTTATAATAAATCCATAATTTGTTTTTCTGTTGCAACATGAGAATAAAAAAAAAATAATTATTTTGACAAGTTGTTGGTGCAAACTGCTCTTCAGTCATTTCATAACTCTATGTTTTCTAATATTTAATCACAATAACTAGTTCTTGTTTCCTTCCCTACTTCCCTCCTCTCAATTTCTCTATTTTCCACCCCTCTCTTTGTCTTTTTTTTCTTTTTCAATTTTTGGCATCTCTTAGATTCGGATAAACAGGGAAGTAAGTACTTTGCTTCTCTACTCTTTTCATCTTTTCTGCCCTTTCATGCTATTCAGTCTTGCTGTCCCCGCCAACCTTTCATGGCCTCTCCAACAGCAGATCTTCTTGTACTTGTCCTCTTTAAGCTGCTGAGCCTTTCCATCTTTGGTCATGACCCTTTTTTATTTCAGTCTCACTGCTGCAGTCTCTGTTCTCTCTCATCCGCGATCAGGTCTTCACCTGGAGTTTGCTAATAGTAAGCAACAGAGGAGGAAAGACTTGGTCAAGTCATAGCTGATGTGCATGCATACAATAAGACGGCAGGTAGTTTGAATATATTCTGTGACACTGAACCTGAAAAAAGGAAAGTAAAAATTAAATCCTACAAGGTTGAGGTTTGTATTTGTATAACATGTCAGTGAAGAGTTAGACAGGAGTGGCAGCTCAGACTACATTGTGCCAAAGTAAATTATCTTCCCAAAAAGGTACATCAGGAAACACAGACAGCAATTTTATCCTGCCATGTTTGAAAAAGCACACATATTTCCATTGCTTTTAATCCCTGACACACCAGACGCTAATTAGAAAAAGGACAAATTGTTATGCCTTATCTTCCAAGAAACACTTCAGCTCAAGACCAACTGCAGGCAGACTTTTTTTTTCTGTGAAATCATTCATTGGTTTACTTTTTGTTTTGTTCAATGCTTAGCAATTTCTTTTTTAGTTTTTTTTTTTTTACTGGATTAGGGTTAAGCATCCCGCCATGCCCTGAGCAACTAAAAATGTCCCCTCAGATCATCCACCAGATGCTACTGTGCAGATTAGGGATGGAAAGATTCACTCATCTGAATTGTTGGACCACTATAGATTTTAGTGATTTCACTGCACCAGTATCTTCAGTGTGCCTCAGATACAACTGGAAGCTAAATGTGTAATGTATCTTTGTAAGCGTGTCTGAATTGGCAAAACCAATGGTTACCTAATTTATCACATATTATTTTCTCTGCTGTTGAGTTTTTGAGGTTCTTTTGAACGCACCATCACGGTGCTTTGTCACTTTGTTATTAAAACACAATTCACAGCGAAAGACCAAATACTTGTGGTGTTTTGAAACAAGGTCTGGGTTTTGTAAATTCACATCATGAATCATATCGAACAAAATCACATTCTGTGAAGTCCAAATCGTTTTCAAATTATTTATGAATTGTATCATGGTTTGAGAAGGGGTTAATCGTATTGCATCGTGCACTCTGCTTTACTGTTTCTTTAACGTATCTAATGGTTTGCATCGATTGGTGTGTTGAATTAGCCTCAGTGGTTTTGATTATCATCACTAATGTAGGACATAATTTTGTTACAGGCACATTATTTGTGAGATGTTCATGGTTTTATCATTTTGTTTGCAGTTGTGGGGAAATAGTTTGTTCACAAATGTAAGAGGGTTGTTTGGCCGCTCAGTATGACTTAAAATCATATCAATCAGAAGGTCAGTAATATGTTGGGGACCTTGACCAATAACTGAAGACTAGAATCTTCAAATTAATTCTAACCTGTACTGGCAACCAATGAATGAAGAGAAGCCAAGGCTGGAGTAATGTTAATAAAGATCCCCTATTGGTGACACTTTAAAATCTTGCTGCAGCATTTGCATGGTCTGAAGAAAGTCCAAAGCTGATTCATTTGAACAGGTTTAAAGTCAGTTAAAAAAATCTAAATGAAAAAAAAAAGTTTAGCTCAGATAACATTTTTGAGCTCAAGCCTTTCCCAGAACAATTTTCTGTACTCTCACAGAATGTGTACATTATTAAAATAAAATCGGACTAGAACCCTTGGCATTGCAGTCTCATAATAGACGGCGCAAATGGAATAGTCATTCATAATTTTAGGGTAGATTTATTTAAAACGTTTTCTGGTCAGGTGAACTAACAGCTTTATGGTGTTATTCCACGGTGTCACAGAATATTGCAACAAACAGTTTAACTGTGTTTTCCTTGTGCATTAGAACCTGACACTGAAAGCTACGCAACAATCCTAACAAAAACAGACAGCAGTAGGCAACAAAAGGGCCTCTGGAGTTTAATAACACTAAGGTTTGGGCTAGCTAAGCAGAAATGGCTAACTGCTAAGCTACTGTTCATTTAGCTAGTTAAGACATTTCAAGAGACTGCAAATACTGTTCCCTTTCCCCATTACTATGCATTTGGATTCACACTAGATTAAGTACATTTTCTAATTAAATATTTGAACAACTCTTTGCTTGCTTAGAAGAAACTAAAGAAAAAAGGAAAACTAAATAAACAACCCAAAAAAGCCGGCAGGCAGCTTTGTTGCTTCAGATGGCTCACCTTATTGTTTTGTTCATCCTCTTTTTTTTCCTAGGCTTTCTTGTCATTAAGTCTGTCAAAAAGTTGCTCCTTCAGGTGACATCAGCTAGCTAAAGAGTGAAACATAGTTGGTGCTACTTACCTTTAACAGCTGACAAGATTCATTTTCACAGTCTTCGATTTTAGGATTGCCAACAGATGGACAATAACATTTTACAGCTGTGCTCATTTTCACTACTTGTAAGAGGAATTTTAATGTCCAGTCATTTCCTCCATCCACAAAAACACTACCACATGAGAATCAAACAGGGAATTTAAGCCCATTCCCCTAGAAGCCAAAAAAGAATTACCAGAATGACCAATTTTGGTCAAATGTACCAGGTTCTGGTACGTTTTGTTCCCTGTACTTGTGCCAAGTTAGCTAGGTATGATACTGACCTGCTTATTAATTAACCTGTCATTTGGCTGATGATTATATTCAAACAGTGATTTCATTGAATTCTTACCTGGAATGAAAAGCTCTGAGTGCAGCTATGTTATTTTTTCTCAGAACAGGAGAACTCAAAACTCTTACTCCCTGCAATGATGATTCTTTTTTTTAGAAAGTCCTGATGAATTTTAGCTCATTTTCTTGCATGCACCAAGGTCATATTTTCCCTGTCAGTAGGCTCTTGGAGCAAGATGAATTCATTAAAGCGAAGCAAATAAAGACTTGTTTTTCTTTCATAACTGATAGAACTGATGAGCTCCCTATGTGTCGCATGCATGCTTTGTTTTTCTTTATTTCCAAACCATTGACAATCTTCATTGCTATATGTTTTTCTGCTTGCCTGCTGTTTGAAAATGCGTTTGCCAAAGTGACAGAAAAAACTTGGTCGGCACGTAGGTCGTTGCACTCTTTCATAGCGATGGCCATCCATCCTAACTTCTTTCTCTGGCATGACATTTATGGAATGTCATTTGTGTTGTTGCATGGGTGAGTTGTGCGTACGTGTATACTGCGCTGTGTGAGGGTACGATTGTGCTGTGTGTGCTCCATATTTCTACAAAGGAGGACCAACCAGCAGTTGGAGTCACTTTTGCCATGAGCGATGAGGGTGTTCTCTTGTAGGGGGGGATCCATCACAGTTGGCTGCTTTGCATTCAGTGTACTGGCTCAGCTTGGTGGAGGGGCCTGGACACCACTAATAGCCTTCCAGTGTGCATGCTGTATCATAAATGCACTAATGCCGAGCTGAGCTGAGAGGAGGCAGCCAGATCAGTCAGTGTCACTCAGGTAGAATTACTCCCAGGGCTGAAGATCCTTCACTTGTCAATCTACCTTTGATCAGCCGCCCATACTGCATGCAAAGCTCTGCATGTAGGGGCTGCGTCTGAAATGTGGCTATCTCTCTGAATGTAATGACCTGGCTCAGAGACGCACAGAGAAGATTTTGAATTAATGCCATTTCTCCATGCATTATAAATCAAGTGCAATCTTTCATTCAGAGCTGATGCCTGAAGGCCGTCCAAGGGGTTTTTGGCTGGTCAAACACGCTTGTGGGCATCAACAGCGGATACTGTAGATTAGTTCATACAGAATGATCATCAGTCAAAGACGGGGGTGAGACTGAGCAGAGTGTTGACATCAAGCCCCGCTATTAGGTGAATAAGGGATGACTTGCTTAAAATGGAAAAAGAGAATGGATGAGATGGATGGAATCAGTTTCAGTCCCAAAGTCTAATTTCTTCATGTGCTAGACTAATTATCAACTCTAATTTACTTTTTCCCCCCTTTCTTTTCTCCACTCTCTGCAATATACAGGGTTACCAGCGATCAAACCACTTCATCGCGACTCAAGGTGAGTCTCCTGCTCCATTTATGTTTGTTTGTGGCTGTCTTCAGCCGAAAGTCAACTATAGGAAAAATGAGCTGGTGAATAATTCAAGTGTACACAAAGAGGAACCTCTGTTACATCATGCTCACATCTGGATTTCCAGCACACACTTTCCAGTGACTATGAGAGACACTCTCAGAACAATTGACTGTAACTGTCAGAGGCTATAACACCACCGACTGTTGCTGCCTGTGAAGCTTTGCTTTTGTTTCTCTCACTGCCATCTGTATGTGTGGCGCAATGTCTCTCTGAAGTCCGCTTGATACACTGCACAGGCAGTATTCCCCAGGCAGAGAAAGCCACAAAGAAAGACATTGTCTTTATTCTCTCCCAGCTCTGATCGTGTTTACTCAATTAACTGTTTTCTCTCAATAATCCCCCCTTTGATTTCTCCCCGTCTTTTACTTCGGTCTCACTTCAATCGCTTATCAAAAGTTAACTCAGAAAAGCAAACTGAATATGTGAAATTTTGCTTTTCTTGCAAATTCAGAGTAAAAACCTCATTCAAGACAAATTAGTTGCAAGTTTGAAAAAAAAAAAGACTATTTTCTTTATTACATTTTTAAAGAATACAATCGCTATATTAATTGGGGTCTTTGTTCAGTTATCACTGTCTCATATGTTAGAGTTCAGTTCTGCTGCCAGAAGACTGGAAATAAAAAGTTGATTTGTTAGGTAACCCCTTCACATTATGGGAGATCTTTTGGGCCTCAAAAGCCATAAAACTTTAATCACGGAGGCCTGATATGAGGACTTTAATCATTAGATCCAGCTGACCTGAACAATACAGAAAAATTATTATTATTTACAGAAGCCCAATAATTCCCTCCAAAAGCAAGCACTAGGTGACACAGGCAAAAAACCTCAAGCAGAACCATGGCTCAGGGTGAGCGGCCTTCTGCCTTGGCCGGCTGCGGGTGAGAGACAGAGAGGGCAAGAGAGAGAAAGAGGGAGAGGACAGAGGGAGCGGAGGGAGGCAGCCTACATAGTAACACAGTAAAGATATTGATAGTAATGATAATGATAGCAGTAATAATAGCAATAAGACTATGAACAGTGGTTGTAATTGTAGCAGAGAAGAAACACGGGGGCAGCAGGAGACTCCCAATCACAGATCCATACCCCACAGCTCCATGAACACCAGGGAAAATGCCCAGTTAGTAAAATACATTACATTACATTACATACATTAATGGAATGAAGTTTCACTGAGAGGAGAGGCAGAAAAGAGGAGAGGCGAGTTCGGTGCATCATGGTAATCTCCCGACAGTCTAGGCCTATGCCAGAATAACTAAGGATGGACTCACCCTAACTATAAGCTTAACTCATTGACTGCCAGCCATTTTCAGAACAGAGAGTCGCTCACTGCCAGAGTTTTTTGAGAATTTTGACTGATTTTTCAAGAGCCACAGAATAGTTTGTGCCATGACTATGTTAACACCGAACACACCAAAAGAAAGAGTAGACTCTCTTCTTTCATCAGGAAAAAAGATTTTGTTTCTACCTTATTCCGTTCTTCTTCGGCGTGCGTCTCACCGGCGCCATTTCTCTCATAGCGAACCATTGCGTTTGTTTTTATTTGCTTACAATCTATGCTAATCTCCCATCAAAAGTGGCACAGCTACCTAGAGGGTCAATTTGTTAGTCCATACTCTGTCTAGAAGCCCATATTTACGGAAAAACTTTCGCCGATCGTCCCCCAAGCCACTCGCATTGAAAAACATAAAAGACGTCTATAGACGTCTTTGGCAGTCAGCGGTTGGATTTGAAAAGACGTCTATAGACGTCTTTGGCAGCGAATGAGTTAATTATAAAGTAAAGTCTTAAGCCTACTCTTAAATGTAGAGACGGTGTCAGCCTCCCGGACCCAAACTGGAACCTGGTTCCACAGGAGAGAACTCTGATAGCATTTTTAACACGAACAGGCTGTATTTTCACAGTAGTTCAGATTATACGATGCCCACCTTGTCTCCGGTAGCTGCCTCTGTTGCTTATACTTTGTGCCACTGGGACATTTTTTTAACGTTTTGTCTCAGCGCAGCTTGATGCTACGCTTAGTTCAATTTTTTGATGTAACCCAGCTGTCAAGGCAATGTCTTCCACAACTTGTGAAAAAAATATGAACAGATTTTTATGTATTAAAAAAAGAAAGAAGCATTTTCTGTGTGAAAGACGTGGGAGTTGTTTATCAAAAGGTATTTTAAGCCTAGGACATATTTGTGGTTTGCTTGTCAGCATACTTAGCCTTATAAGAAACCACATTTTATAATTACAGTAGTAGTTCTCCGGGCTTCTTGAAGGACATCTCAAAGCTCTTCCTTGAACATTAGCTGCTTTTTGTTTTCATCTCGTCAAGATCTTATACCAGTTACATTATTAACTAGCATGCTATGGTTAAAAACGTGAAAAAAAAACTGCGTGACAGGCTATAGAATGAGTCTGCCTGAGTGTTTGTAATGTGACTCAATTTCTTCAAAAACACCTTTACTGCGTTGAGTGTCTTCACGTACACTGACTTCCATGCATCAGTACAACTTTCATCTAGCTTTCCAATATGGCACATCCTTAGTATCCCGCATAATTCTTTTCATGTGAGTGGCACGATCTCTTGGTAGCTGGTCGCGGTGGCAGGTTGAGGTTGATTTGTTGTGTCTCAGATAAGCCTTGAGGCAGCTGCGCCTCTGCAGCAGGCAGCAGGTGCTCCGGGCTAACTCTCTATTATGTCCAGAGACAAGGGAGTGGGTTGGTGGGTGTTGGTGGTAGGGCTGCAACGATTCGTCGACGTTGTCGACAAAAATCGATAATAGAAAAAGTCGACAATGAATTCCATTGTCGACTATTGTCGCCAGACGTGTTTTTCCAACAGAGTGAGACATCTCACTTAATTACAATCTGCCCAGAGTCACCTGCACAACAGCGTCGCGGTTACAGAAATGGCGGCGTCCAGCACGCGTACAAAAACTTCCAAAGTTTGGGAGCATTTTATCCTTGATACAACGAGTAAAAAAATTAGGTGCAAGGTTTGCAAAACAGACCTTGCGTATCACGGCAGCACCTCGGTGATGCATGAGCATTTAAAAAGAAAGCATGTTGGGCACTTAAATGAAACGGAGTCTGACTCGCCTCGGTAAGATTTAAGCAACAATAATGCTAATATGTTTTGTCTTTTATGTGCGTTATACATTTTCTAAACGTTTTTTCACTTTAAAAGAGAGCTTTAACGTTATGCCTGACAAACGCATTCTTATTTACGTTTTGTATCAGCTGCAAAGTTGAATAAAAGATGCATTTTTCATTGAAGTACCCATTTTTCTTGTGTTTATCATTTTCCACTTAACTAAAGCAACTTTATGCTATTTTTAAGAAAAAGTGAATAACTATTCGATTAGTCGACTAATCGATTCAATAGTCGGTGACTAGTCGACTATTAAAATAGTTGTTAGTTGCAGCCCTAGTTGGTGGCAGACATAGAGGGTAGGAGAAATGCCGAGCACGCTCTAAAAGCCCCAGTCCAATGCAGAAACATTGTGCTATGCGATGCATACAGATTCCCCCAGCTGCCGGTGTCACAGATCATCCGTCTTCCAACCGGCTGCCCGGTCCCCATGGCGATGCATTAGTGTGCTTCCCCTGCTGTTGAAAAATGAACATCCCACATCACCAACACACGTAGAAACGGTCACTATTTCTACTAACAGGGGAGACAGCTGTGAATAATCCTGCTAGAGAGAGGATTTCAGGAGCATTTCAGGAGGAGCCCAAGTGTGCGTACGAGAACATAAACAGGCTTGTGTTGACTCGCCTTGGGTCGGCTGTAGTTGATAGAGACTGGCAAAGCTCTGACTTTTATAAAAGAAAAAGCTCCTATCAGACTTTGCGGATGCCCTGTTTTAAACAAGCGTGCATGTTGTTCCTCCTCCTCCTCCTCCTCCTCCTCCTCCTCCTCCAGCTGCCTTCACATTATTTACTGCAGGGCATGCAGTCGGTGGTGCAGTACCTTTTGATTGAGCTGTGGAGAGAAAAGCTGTGAAAATCAGCACTTCTGCATACCTAACGTAGTATTCATTATTTGTGGAAGGGGAAAAGCCTCCATAAGCCGGTTTTACCACTTTATTTGAAATGATTGTGTGGCTTTACTGACTAGTTGGATTACAGCGGCTTCCCTTTCATCAGTCAGATTTGCCCCATTACACGATATTGACTGCCGATGTGCTATCATATCTTTAATTTCTATTATTTTATATACGAGATGATGAAAAAAGGATTTGTTCTACTGATCGTTTTTTTAATTCAATCTTTAAAAAACTATATATTGTAGTTTTTATGCCATGAACTTAAATGGGAAAAAAAAGGAAATAATGAGGCCAGTTTCAGCCAAGCTTCAGCTGTTAGACAGATGAGCTCACACTTGACTCTATTGTACTTTGCAGAAAAACCTCAACACATCAGCCTTCCACCTCCGTGCTTTACAGTACAGATAAAGATGCAGTTGCACTAAAACACACACACACAAAAAAGAAATAGTTCAATTTTATTTATAAAGCGCCAAATCACAACAACTGTTTTCTCACAGCCCTTGCCAAACAGAGCAGGTCAGACCGTACTCTGATGTTATTTACAGAAGCCCAATAATTCCCTCCAAAAGTAAGCACTAGGTGACACAGGCAAGGAAAAAAGGATTTGTTCCACTGATCGTTTTTTAATTCAGTCTTTAAAAAACTATATATTGTAGTTTTTATGCCATGAACTTAAATAAAAAAAAAGGAAATAATGAGGCCAGTTTCAGCCAAGCTTCAGCTGTTAGAGTCAAGTGTGAGCTGAGATGTTTATGCTGATAGGCAAACCCATAGACATATATATCGTAAGTAGACGCGTCCGCCATATTGGTTGTGGCAAAACTGCCCTTAAACTAATAAAAGAAAACGGACTGAACTCCATAAAGCGCCTTTCTACAAAGTGCATTTTGGTAATGCACCTTATTCACACGCACACTGATACATCTGGGAAGCAAATAGGCAAAAAAAAAAAAAAACGTATGTAACTTTTAAAGTGATTATTATAAATTGTTACTCCTGATGTTAAGGACATAAGGAAGCACCAAACCAGCGTCTGTACTTTTAATGCTGAGTGTTTTCAGCCTGTAATGCGTGTTACTCTGTTAACTGTGATACAAATATTGAAATTTAACATGTAATTTGTTTCCATAATAACCAGATTCTGAAAAGTAGATGTGACCTGACGGTTTTCTGGATAAAGAGCACAAACATTTACATTTAACTGATTTTGATTAATCATTTTAAATTCACATTATGTATATATATATATAAACATAATGTGAATTTAAAATGATTAATTAAAATCATCAATATAAATATATATATATATATATACATACATACATACATACATACATACATACATACATACATACATACATACATACATACATACATACATACATACATACATACATACATACATACATACATACATACATACATACATACATACATACATGAATGAAGACGTTAGCCTGACTGGAAAATCAGGCTATAGAAACGTATATGCAAACATTATATTGGCGACATGCAGCGATACGGAAATAGGCACCAGCTGCATGTATCGACCCAGTTTCGGATAGATTACGCATTTCGGAGGTTCGGCTCATTGCTGCCGCACCTCACGTTCCAGCCAGGATCTCTACAGAAAATATGCATTTTGAGCGATTTTGACAATTAAAATGTTTCCAATTAGTCATACATAAAGATCAACAAACAAATATAAATATTCATTTTATGTTTTTTCTTGTGATGAGGCTCTGCCTCCCCTGACCGCATGTCCCTTATATATATACACAGCTATACAATTGCAGTCTGTGTGTGGGTGTGCAAGTTGAAAAACTTGGAAAAGAATACTTTTGCACTGTTTTTTCGTATGTTGGCACTCAGTTTGGCAGTTTTGGCCTCAGTTTGTGGAATCACATCCTTTGTTTTTTAGGGTGAGCAGCTCTGATGATGTGGCTACAGCATTAGACACCAAACTACCTCAGAATAAATCACAGGACGGCCTTTTAGGAAGTTGGCCAACATAAAAACCTGAGATTTACACCGGTTCACTGCCTGATCACTGATTCCGATTCTCCACTTTGCCCCATCCAAGATGGCGGCGATGCTGCCTTACGATTCAGCCATCAATGCGGTGTCTATGTATATCTGTCTATGGGCAAACCTCTATGTCATGCACTATTGAAAAGATCGTTTAAAACTTGAATGAATACTGTTTCTCATACTCTTGTACGGTTAACTCCAAATAGTTGGAAATTGACATTTTTATAGCATCTCGTGCTTATCTTGTATCGTTGTTTATGTCTTTCCTGCGTGGCACCTTAATGCTGCCAAACAGCAAACAGCCAAACTGGTAGTTGTCCCTCGGAGGATAAACCATTGTTGTCAAGTTCATTTAAAAGTTGCGAACACCAGTGGTGTGTGAGTTTTAGTGAAACAGGAAATATTGGAATTTTTTCAGCACCAAACTGGGACTGAGCTGTTTTGAGTGGGAGTGAAGAATAGCATGACAGAAAGGGGTTACTCCACAGTTACCCCAATGTTATTGTTTGCTAAAAAAAAAAAAGAAAGTGTCGTCTTTTCTGGGAGGCCGCTGGTGCTGCGGAAAGGCAGCACAGGAGCTTGTTTGTACTATGGCTAAAGATTTGTGGGTGGATTGAAATGACGTTTCTCTGCAGTATTAGGAGAAAAACGATTGTGCAATAGTTCATGAATGACACATTGTTACTCTCATCCCTGGCATGGATTACACAGTGCCTCTACTCTGATGGTAATTGCTGCTATTTTCTCTGACTTATGTATCATCTCTCCACCCTCTTTATCCTCCTCTCTACCTCTTCCTCCACCTTCCTGCTTTTTGTTCTCCACCCACTCTTCCGTCTTTACCTCTACTGTACACCCTCCTCTCTGCAGGCCCCAAGCAGGAGATGATCTATGATTTCTGGAGGATGGTTTGGCAGGAGAACTGCTTCAGTATTGTCATGATCACCAAGCTAGTGGAAGTGGGCAGGGTAAGTTTCCTTTGCCTTTGTTCTCTGACCCCTTCATCCACCTGTGAAGATGGATGGCGGTAATGTATTTCTGGAGCTCTCACCATCACTCGCTATATATTACAAGAGCTGAGGAGCTGCTGGACTCCGTCTTGTGGGATGAAATGGCACCTGCTAACCTTTTACTTTGGTTGCTGTGGTACAAGGTCAGATCTTTGATGTATATGAAAGCCAGCAGTGGAATATTGTGCCCTGTTTCATACACTATTTTTACTGCAGCTGGATGCAGCAGCTTTAAAATTTGCACAAGCACCATTTTTTACCATTTTAATCATATTAAGGGACCATAGACATGGCAATATTGCTAGCACTTGATAAAGAAAGGTTTACGTTTTTATTTTTTATTTTATTTTACAAATTTAGGAGGCATTCCACTAATTTAACAAAACTCTCCATATACTAAACAGGATTCTATCAGCGTGATAAGAGCTATTTAGTTTCATCACCAAGTGTGGATCCGGAACTCGCTTTCAAAGTAGTAGATTTTTTTAAAATGTTCTAGGAACAGAAAGTAGCAATTGAAGTAGTATCTTCATCCAAAGTCACAACTGAGTTTTGGAGACAGTATAAAAATGTGTTAAGCTGTACTGTTTGGATATACATAATAAAGTATTGTGTGGAAAGCACAGTAAATAGATAGAAATGTATGATCTTTATTACGTATATGCATGTAAGGTGGAAAAGCATATGACTGTAAGGACAGATTTTGGGCCATTACCGCTTTTTCTTTTTTGCTTGTCCTGTGATGAGCTAATATTTGCTAAATCTTTTCATTTTTTAATGTTTTGTAAATTGGGTGGTACTGTCTCACCTTTTGAACATTGTTAGTGAAGGCTATTTTAGCAACAAAGCTAACATCCATTTTGTTAGCTTGCGTGGCATTACATGGGATGCTCAAGTGAGAAATAATTAAACATGTCCCATGTTTGCATAACTCCTTGTTATAACTATTTATTTTTGTTTTATTGAATAGATCTCAGCTCCTTAAATGTTGAAAATCCCTTTACTAGTCATTTGAGGAGTGTACTTGATTATTTGTAGAAATTAATGAATGAAGTTAGCAGCTTAGCACCAGCTACAGAGATTTGGAATTTTATGCTTAAAGTTAATATGTGTGTTGCAATGTTGTGTTTTTGTTTTTTACTTTAAAATAAAGTTAATCTTCAGATGGGGTAAATATTGACATAGAAAGTTGACATCACAAGAACACCTGCAGTCGAAGGAAACATTGATGCAAAAATATTGCATAAACAGAAAATTAAAGCAACCAGTTCCTCCTAGGAACATTAAAGTGGTGGTTTAGATTGCTGTAGGTCAGGCACAGAGAGCTCTGCTGTATTTACAAAAGTATAAAATGGAATAAATTCTCCCAAATAAATCCTGTCAAATTAGATTTTCTCTAACATTGATGTAAACATATTTATGAAAGACATTCAATAGTGAAGTTGAGGGAAACATATCTTGCAAAGGACTGAGCAGAACAAGAACATAGAAGTTAGAATTCCTAGTGGTGGGAATGCTTTCGGAGTCGTGTTAAGATCAGAATAATGTAAACAGAACGTCTTTGTTTTTCCAGATGAAGTGCTGCAAGTATTGGCCCGATGAGACAGAACTATACGGTGACATCAAGATAACACTACTGAAGACTGAAACTCTGGCAGAGTATACTGTGCGCACCTTTGCTATGGAGAGGGTGAGTCATCTGCTCATTATTTTTAATATGAGCCCTGGGCAGATCTACTGTGTGATGTTGCCCAGCTCTCATTTGGTCTCGGGTTTGTTTAATTGGTTTCTATATGCGAATGCCTGTTGAGGCTTCCGTTTTTATTATAATCACATTGCATTAAATTTGACTTGTTTTCCCTTCTAGAGAGGTTACCCAGCCAAACATGAGGTGTGCCAATTCCACTTTACCTCATGGCCTGAGCATGGCGTTCCATACCACGCCACTGGCCTGCTTTCTTTCCTGCGCAGGGTCAAGACTTCCACCCCCCCTGATGCTGGTCCAGTGGTGGTCCACTGCAGGTATGGGGTCAATTTCTCTCTCTCTCTCTCTTTATATATATACAGTATATGTATGTATATCTATATCTATATATCTATCTATATATATATATATATATATATATATATATATATGGTAAAGCATAAATCTGTTGCAGCAGTAGTTAACATTCACACATTTCGGTTTCTTTTGGTCAGTGGTTAAATGTGACTGAAAAGCAGCCGACTGAGACAAGGCGTTACATATAGACTGTGGCTATGTTCAATAATATTATGATTTAAGTAACTTAAAAATGATATTTGTGTCGCCATATTTCTGTGTACTATGATCTCAGGGAACGTAATATGAATGTTGATAGCGCACAGTGAGTCTGTCCCTTTAACTTATAAGCACACAATCCTTGAGAAGTTCAAGCAGTAGTGGATCATGGGAAATTTGGTTATCAAGTGTTTAGCTTTTTTAAAGAAGGACATTTATCCTTTGTGCTAATACACTTTGCCAACAGATCTTGCCTGTTTTTTTTAAATGTTTTTTAAGCATACTACAAGTCTTTATTAAAAAAAGACGGAATGCAATTTTCGGTCTGCTGCTGGATTTTCTAGAATAAAATAAAGCTTAAGACCTCTCTAGTGGAAGATTTTTGATTAGACTGAGGGTTGTTCAGTTAATTTGTGATATGAGAAGCACGACATCTGCTCATGTGTGATTGTTGTATCAGTTGGAAAGCTAATCTGCTATAAAATCCACCATCTTATTGTGAAGTGTTCGGGGAACCATCTCCGAATGGGCCATCTGTGTAAGCAACGTACTTGATGACCTTAATAAATTGTTTAGGAATCACTGTAACTTTAACAGCTATTTGAATTTGTGGAAAGGACAGGAAAATAATTCTGTCGTTGCCTCCATGATGCTTCTTTTTCTACTTGGTGTCATTATAACAAGCAATATGTTGCTGTCCAAAAATCCCTAATACCTCTAACATGAAAGTGCAGATTGACCTGCTGTCTGTTGGTAGAATTTGAACCCATCATGGGTTCAAGCAGTGCTAATGGTCCAGCACGGCAGCTATATCAGTGACTTACCTTTCAGTGCAAATTACAAACCGCTCTTGGATTGATTGTAAATGTCCAGATTCAACCTTTAAGATCAGAAAGTTTTCCATTTCCATTTTTCAAGAGGAAAAATCTGAGAAAACACAAATGGCTTCAGAGCGATGCAGTAGTGAAAATCAAGACGCTGGTCTCAGTCATCATGCAATTTATAACCCATTAGCACAGCTATTAGATGTAAACAAGCAGTTATTTCAATTTCACACCTGGGCTTCAGTTCATTTGATCCAGAACAAATGAGGTAAATTCACATTAATGCTTGTTAGTTCTGATGTAGTTCTATTTAGAAACTGACAAACAAAAGCTGTCATAAAGCCGATAAAGCACCACATGGGCACACTCATAGCCAGATGATGTAGAGAAAATCTGTAGGTCGAATGCCTTTGTTATAGGAAAACAGAGGGAATAGCAAACACAACCATGAAAAAAAAAACACACTGGTACCCTACAGGCAATGAGGTGTAATAAATCCTGAACCTCCTTGGAACAGCATGTTATGAAGGATCCTCAATGCTAAAGGATGGAATATTTAATGTCTGGATGAATTCATTCTTTCTTGTTGTGGTTTATTTTAAATTAAAAACTAGTTTAGTGGCAGTAACACCTAACATTAAGTCTGAAAGGAGTGGAACACAGTGGGTGGTAAAGGGCTTCTTTTTTAAATATTTTGGAAACTGAGATTACTAATGGTTTGACTTTAAAATGATCTGTATTGTAGGCAGTCCTATAAATCACAAACACCCTTTGTGAGTCTGTCAATGTTCTCCTGAGGCAATGACTCCTCTAAATGTTTGTATAGACCTTTTCATCAGTGGAATACCCCTGGTATGCACTGGCATTAGTACTTTTTTTCTGATGTGAGACTTTTCCCTGCCTTGGATTAAACAGAAATATAGATTCATCTAAGAACAGGTCACATTTTTACTCACCATCCATTTTAGATAAACCTGTCTCTAGAAAACACAGAACTCTGCGGCTTTCCACTGAGTTAAGGGACTTCCTTCTTTAAAGTTTGATTCTTCTGTTACACCTAAACCTGGAGCCAGTTCATTTTATGATGAAAGAATCATTCAGTTTACTGCTGCTTTTATATTTAAAAAAATGTTTCTTTGCCTCTTTGTATGCTGGAACGATCACATTTTTTAATTAGTTTATATTTTTCAAATGACATGAAGTGTGTTTCTGATTACAAAGAAATCAATTTCCCCTCATGCTTCTTTCTGTTAAATGGAGCTTTAAAAGAGTTTTTATTACATTTAAGAATGTAAAAGGACAGTTTGTAATATTCCTTCTATTTTACGTTCAGACTATTACAGATTAAGTTCTTCTGTTTTACTCAATTTTGGTTGATTCTTCCATTCAGAACTTGCTTTCCATCACATTGATCAAGTTGTGTTTAAGCATGTTTGTCTGAGTTCTTAACTTGTAAACCTTAACTTAACTTTGGGCTGTCAGAACCTGATGGCAACTGTACTCCATTTCTGTGTGAGAATTTTTCATCATATAGTTATTAGTCCTCAAGCAGATTATATGGATCCTTTCTGAAATTTACGTTTCAATGCTCAATCTCACTTCTACGATCTTCTCTCTCCTCTCTAACAGTATGGGAGCAGGCAGGACTGGCTGCTACATCGTGCTAGATGTCATGCTGGATATGGCTGAGTGTGAAGGAGTAGTGGACATCTACAACTGTGTTAAGACCTTGTGCTCCCGTCGTATCAACATGATCCAGACCGAAGTGAGTGGGAGGGCAGAAATCCGCATAGAGAAGCCGTGCTGACAGATTTGATCTTCTTAGTACCAAGCAGCTAGAGCCAAATGTTTCTATTGTGTTATATTTAACCATCTATCATTTTGCTGCTGCTAAAGCTTTGGAATGGACATTCAAAGTAAACACAAGAAATCCCTGGTTCGGTATGCGGGTAATGAAAGTATAGAGGTGGAGGCAGAACAAGACACTCTAGCAGACTCAGCAAACAAACTCATCCAGACAGAAGACAAAACCCCCGAAACACCTACCAAACTTAGCTAAAGGCCTCCTGCCACTGGTAAACAATTGTTAAAGGCCTGCTACAAATACTAAACATACTTACAATCTTTAAGAATAACAACAAAAACAAGCCAACTCACCTAAGGTTGCTACCTGGTTTCAAAGGGCTAATTCTGAAGTGTTCACAAGGGGATACGTGTGAAATTAAAAGTGATTAATTTCCAAGTAATTTATTGGTTTAAATCTGACGTATATTTTGTTAAAATTGAAGAAAAATAGAGCTTGATGTAATAAAAAATTGATAAAGGTAAATATTTAGCAGCTAAGTTAGGTTGACCTCCACAGGAAAAAATTTGCTGCAGAATTTGCCATAAACAACAAAACTAATATCGTCTAACAAAACTGATCTTCTAACGTGAAGCAATGCTATGTCTTATGATGTCAAAGATGTAAGAGCAGGAGATGAAAAGGAGGGACTTTCTTTTAAATGAAAGAGTGATCAGATTTAGAAACGGTTTAAGGCTCTAATTATCCACCCAAAAACAGGATGCTGAAAACACGTTCAGTGTTCTAGTGGAAATTTTTCATTTTCAGCGTGAGACAAAAGTCTTTTCTTGAGGGGGTAAGAGATAATAGAATATTCAAACAGAATTTTGCAAAGTGATAACATCTCAGCACGCCACACAAAGCAGTTAGCATGACATACAAAGATGCTCTGATTATACTGAAACTTGCACTACAATTTATTGCCTTTCCTGTGAGGACAAAAAGGGGAGTGAAACCTCCGAACCAATCACCTACGCAGTGAGGGGGGATTGTCTGACCTCAGGAGAGCAGAGCATTGTCCCTGGATTTTTTTCGCCTCAAGGATAAAAGCTTAAAAGCTGAGTCACATTTAACATATTAGACACAAGGAAGTAAGAGCGTGACCTAACAATCACATTTATGATGAGGCCAATGACTTTTCTAACATTGTAAACCAAATCAGCAATAAACACATGAAGAGTCCAGTGTGACATATCAATCTTATTTGAACAATTCATATGGGACAAATGTCAAATTTAACATGACACGTGTTTTAATTTATGACAAAATGTATAAATTGTATCACAAATTTTTAATTGCGTCCGCCGCCATTACTTCTAGGTTCTACTACGATGGCAGAGTGAAATGGCCAAGCTCTGGTGCTATGCAACAATGTTTTTCTATTGGTCAGCAGTGAAGACATTGATTCTGTCCCATGTGGTGCAGCATTTGGGTGTAATGTACATTTGAACGTCAATAGGAGCAGCACAAGTCTTCACAGCTTTGGGGGGCAACCAAAGAATCGTAGACAGCTTCCTGAAAACCCGCGGCTGTGCTCTCACATCTTCCCTGATTCATCCGATGCCTTTGTCAGCCAACTCAAACAGGAAAGAGCTCATGGGTGTTGCTTGTTGTTATGGAGACTATAAATAACCACCACAATATGATGTGCCAGCTGTAAGGGTGCTTGGAGTTTTTAAGAATGCTTCAAATGTGATACAGTGTGCGACTTTTAAAAAGGTTTTTAGACTACTTCGAAATTGAATTCCCACAGTTTTTTGTGACACTGAATCTAATGTAGTTGTGTAGTTGTTAGTTGTTTTTAAGATAGATTTACTTTGCCTCATGAAACACATTTGCTAAACACCCACATCAACTATGTGGTGTATCTACAGACATAAGATGGATGTGAGAACCTCCTGTAATCCGTCTTGGTGTTTCTGAACATAGAGATAAAGGGTACTTACACCAACTCAAGGTATTGGTTGTCTGATTTTCAAAAATCATTAATTGATTAGTCCATGCAGAGTGTTCAAGAGGACTTTAATTATGTCAGCTTGAGTTCTCTTGATTTCCACCTATTTTCATCCCTCAGCACATATCACTGTTTTGATATCATTCCCTGTGTGATTTCGTCAGACACCCTTGTATAGAAACAGTGGACAGGTCGAGTTATCTTAGTTTCACTCAAGTTTTTACAAGATAAGTTTTAGGACTGTATTAGGTTCAGAATTGATCCATTTGCAAATTGAGCACAAAATGTGGAGCAATTAAGAATTTTTCCACAATTTCTTCGTGTCCAAATAAATTCAAAATCATAATTCTAGTTGATTAAAAAACATTCTAAAGTTGTTGAAATGTCAGTATAGTTTTTATATTTGTCATAGGAAGTAGTATATTGGTCTATACTGGAATATTTGATTACACCATTAAGACATTTACACTTTGAGATAAAAAAGAAAATGAGTGAAACTGAATAAACAGAAGATGTCTTATTTGACATTATTTATGGTGTCCTGCAGTTCTGTTTTGGTTTACATTGTATAAAAAAATGTCAATAGCATGAAGGAGCTGTGTACAAAACTGTCAGACAGACATTAGTGTTGTGCGAATATACACTCACATCTTATTTAATTTGCACAAAGAGCAGCTTGTTATTATACAAAAACCTTGCTTGAAATAAAATAGCATTTTAAAATAAAAACCAGGGAAAGACATTAATTACTGGAATAAATAATGCTTTTCAAAACTTGAAAGAAAGTTCTCTTCCTCACAGGTCTGAACCAGATTAGATGCCGAAACAATAGTATTTATCTCCCTTTTAATGTCATCTTCCCAGTTTGTGCTGCGGCTGCTGAATACATATTTTTGCAATTACAAAGAAACATTAAAAAATGATAGAAGTTAGGGACAGTTTTATGCCTGTAATTTTGAATGTCTCCCCGCTTCTTTAATCTTTTGTATGGTTTCCCATCAAAACAAATTTCTTAGTTTCCCCGTTAATTGTCCAGCTCTTGGTGTTTATTTAAAATGTGCTGCGTGGGCAGTGGATTACTTCTCTAATGAGTGTTTGTGGCTCTTTTTCACCATTTTCTTGACAATATTCTGTATTCAGCTTGGAAACAATGAATGCGTGTGGGCATGGCGATGTGAGCGCTGTTTGACAGCTCTGACTATTCGTCAACATTCAACAGCAGTAATTAAATTCGTCATTGTTATTCACAAGTGGGCAATTAAAAGTTAGGATACTTTTAGGAACAGGACATTTTTGTGTGATTTGGATAAATGTCTGAAAGCCCCCCCCCCCCCCTCCATGTCCATGTTCACAGGAGCAGTACGTGTTCATCCATGATGCCATCCTGGAGGCCTGTCTATGCGGAGAAACCGCCATCCCTGTCTCAGAGTTTTCCCTCACCTACAAGGAGCTGCTGAAAGTGGACTCTCAGAGCAACACATCACAGCTCAGGGAGGAATTTCAGGTAACATTAATTTATCAGCTATTAGGAAGAATAAAAATTCTTGCATAACGTGAAAAATATTTTTTCCCCCTATAGATAAAAAATCACAGCAGAGTTTTTGCTCTATAAAAGTGTAAACAATTTTACTTTTGTCAGAAATTATTGGACAAAACTTGAAGGCAAAATGAGCAACACATCAATTTATATCACAGCAAACCTCTGTCAGTGATGTTATTTGACCCACTAGAAGTGTGTGATTATATATTTCCTCTCACAAAGGTGTTTTTGTCTTTTTCCTGCTTTTGGCCTGCAATCTGTGAACAAAACCTTTCTGCACACCTTGTTATGACCTAAGTATTCTGTTAGGATAAAAAGACGGACATTAAGATCTTATTGCAGATCTTCGAGCAGAGATTAGTGCTTCAAAATGAGACTGTGAGAAAGTATCCAGAAAGAGCATATGCAGACAACTGTTAAAGGGAAGAATAGCAGCTAAAAAGCCATTACTGAGGACTGCAAACGTCCAGAAACACCTGGAGGACCGGGGCTGATGGAGGAGCCAAGTCAAAGTCCTTGTAAGATTTAGTGGATTAAAAGACTGATGACACAAACGTTGCATCCCATCTCTTCTTTTTTATTCCTGAAACAATATAGAATTTCACATGAATTCTAAGATGTAGCTTATTCTCACACAGTTTATTGGGTATTGCATTTATTTTTTGTTTTTATTCTGTTTACAGTGCTGATGTAAGATAAAGCAGGCTCTTTAGAGCCAATCAATAGGCAAATTTATATGAAAAACTATAGATTATTGCGTTAGTCACAACATAACCAGGCTTTCAAATTTCAATAAACTTCTTAGTCAAGATCAAAAGCTTGTCAGATAATGCACTGCATTAATTAATTTTGGGCTCCAAAATTCTATTTGTAATCTATTTTAAAAAAAGCTTATTAATACAGTTGAATTCTTGTCAAAGCTGTGCTCACCTACATCTTTTTGTTTTCTTTATAATAGTTACCTAGCATGTCTGAAATCACAGCTGAAGTTGCTATACATTACACATGCAGTAACTATCGCATAGCGCGCATGTTTATTATGTGATGTCCACTTAATGCCAGCCGTGTGCTATTGATTGGTGACGTTCAGCTAGAAGAATTAGCAGTCGTGCCTCTACCCCATCCCGTGTGCCTCACATGTCTGTTCAGTCACTGCAGCTCAGGAGCTGTCCAATCAGACTGCCGTCCTCTAACCGCAAATTGTTTTCCGTATCCAATACTCCAGTTGCAAGTTTCATTCGTTTTTCTGTTTACGTTACGTTTCCGTTTACGGCATGAGACAGGTTACATAATCTGTCCATGTCAATTTCCACTGCTTTATAAAGCGCATATTCATAATTCATGAAGCCTTCATTTTATGCCTTCAGTTGTTTTGTCCGATAATATCTGTGTTTTGAAGTTTTTAGTGGTTGATTGGAGGTGATTGCGCTTGTCATGTATTGAAGTCAGGCTATTACTGCTAGAGCTGCGAGTATTTCATTGTTTCCCTTTGATCTCATCTAATCACAATCTTCATTCTTAAGTTTTCATTTTCATCTCTTCATCCGAAGTATGATCACGTTCCCTCGCCCGCTTGTCGACCTTTCCAATTAACTTCTTTGGGCACCCCCTCCCTCCCTTCACCTCCTCCTCCTTTCTGCTCCTCCTCTCAGACCCTGAACTCAGTGACTCCTCACCTGGATGTGGAGGAGTGCAGCATCTCTCTGATGCCCAGGAATCGGGAGAAAAACCGCAGCATGGACGTCCTGCCGCCCGACCGCTCCTTGGCCTTTCTCGTCACCACAGACGGAGAAAGCAACAATTACATCAACGCTGCGCTTGCTGACAGCTTCCTGCAGCCAGCCACCTTCGTAGTGACGCCACACCCCCTGCCGGGGACCACCACTGACTTCTGGAGGCTTGTGTACGACTACGGCTGCACCTCTGTGGTGATGCTCAACCAGCTCAACCAGTCCAACTCTGCCTGGGTACGAGAATAAAAAACATATGTATTTAGCAAATACCATTCATGTAATTATTTAACTTGATAATCAACCTGGTTATTAATAGCATTCTACTTTTAAGGCTCACAATGTTTTCACAACGTGTACTGGGGGGGCATTTTATCCTTTTTGTCAACCTGATTCTAACATATTAACATATGTCTCGCACATTAACATATGTTTTGACTTATTTTGTTATATATGGTCTAATGGACCTCATTTACTTAAATGTATATGTTGAATCATTATCTGAATTATTGTCACTATGGTTATGAACACACGGACACATAGATAGAAAAACACTGACTGGTATATGTCAAAGTCTAGCCAAGATACTGATTTGAAACCATTTCAGTGGAAAAGGCGCATAGGATGGAACCATCCTTATCATTTTGAGGTAATTGAATGGAGTAAAAATATAGTTATATTAGAAACAGGTCACTGACCTGAAAACAAAAGCATGATTAATTGGCATTATAGCAGTGACACGCAGTATCTTTACTAAGCCCCTAAGAATTGACTTATCACTGCTCGTGAAAAAACACGTTTTTTTATACACACCTTTTAAGTTTTTTTTTTTTAAATGAATGGTTAGATGTAAGGAGGACACTTATATTGGCATAATTTTTTATCTGGAGTAATAAAAAATGACATATTGACGGTGTCTGCCTCCCGGAACCAAACTAGAAACCTGGTTCCACAGGAGAGGACTCTGATAGCTGAACGCTCTGGCTCCCATTCTCCTTTTTAAGACTTCTGCTTTTTGCAATATTATGTAGGTGAAAGAAGGCGGTTTTCAATGTTTTGAGGTTCAACTTCTACCACCAGTGCAGCTTTTTTTTTCCTGAGAAATGTGTTTATTACCCATAGAGGATGGGGGGAGAAGAAAGACATAAAGTGGCCACTTTTTTCACAATTCCATAAATGTAAAGCAAGCAGTGGGTAGAGGAGCGTGAAAGGTATGGAAACAAAAAGCAGTGCCAACCAATCAAGTGTTAGGCTCCCTCATAAGTCATGTCTACTTAACCAGCAGACTCACCTGTAAATACCAATTCCTTGTCCATGAAATGGCCAAACTGCACCTTGAACCTGAATATTGAACCTGAGGAAGTTTTTTCATTGCTGATTACAAGGCAAAATGCACATTAATACCTGCATGAGGTGCAACAACACAGCTTGGATCTCACAAGGAATTAGATCAGTGATTTAAAAAAATAAAAAAAATAAAATAACATGGCTGGAATAGCAAAAGTTAAATAAAGAAATGAATAGAAAAACAAACTGAGATTTAACTGGACTCTTGTCTATGCATCAGTTTTAGGTAAGGTTTGTTAAGCGTACATGTAAGGAAGTCACCAAAGAGGATGAAAACATGGAGGAGAAAAGCATATTTTTGATGGTGATCTGTTGGATCCATCTGAACAGCAACAGCGGTGGAAATTGTCAGGAGGTGCTTTCAACCGAGGGGAACATTTCCATAGTTTTACAGAACTATTACACTAAGTACCTCTTGCTTTCATTGTGACACATTTCCATTATAGGGTCATTTTTACATCCTGGAGGAACAGGCATAACAGAACAAGGAATCCATGTGTGACGTAACTCCCCAGGGACTGGTTCATACATCATACATGGCACCTGAGCAGCTCAGTGTAAAAGAAATAAGAAGTATCACCGATAAAGCATTGCCAATATAAACTTAATATAAAACTCAGAGAATAATGGCACCTCATGTTAGTTTTCATATATTTTTCCTTATTTCTAGGCCAGGAAATGTGGAAAAACAAGACTAAAACACTGTCCAGACAGTAACATTCTATGGACTGGAAATACAGGGGGAAATAACCACAGAAACAAAGGCTCTGGCTCTGGTTCTGGAAAAAAAAAGAGCGATTACACAGAACTTTACGGCATATTAATGACTGCAAATTATAACGCATTATAACGTATCGATGCTCCTGTGCCAACACTTCTTTTTCGTCCCGTCCATCAGCCAGGCATGAATGTGACTGACAGTAGTCACAGTGTGGAGGGGTGATCAGACGTCCGTCCTCCCACCGTTTTTTTGCCACCGCACTTCAATTCTGCGTTCATGCCGCCCATTTAATTTGCCGTCGCACCATTAACGCGTCCTTATCGCTCCCCTCCATGTTTGCTCATGCATAGGTTTGTTCTGCTGCCTCCCTATCGCCGCTTCGCCACCGTGTCATGTCTCATTCCCGCTCGACATTTTCACCACGCCTGTCACCTGAAGCCTTTTTCTTCCTCCACTGTCACTCTCTTCTCGTCTTCTTCCCCACCTCTAGCTGCCAGTGGATGAGCAGCTCAGCCCTCCAACGCTCACACACATGCACAGTTTGTCCTTTCTGAGTTGGGGCTGCTAGTCTCCTGTCTGGATGTATAAATATGTATCTTCCTTCTTGCTCAATGTCACCTGTTCTGTCAGTGTCATGGTTATCACTTACTACTCCAGGGGTGTGCTCATTCCCAAAGTCAGTACTGAACGTGTTACCCCTCCCGTGTCTTATTATTTCCCTTCTCCAGGCTTGGGGGGGGGGGCTTCAAAATAAATAAATATAGAATTGTATTTATTTATTTTGAAGCAGTGTTGATGGGAGACCTTGGCATTTGAATGTCTTCAACCCCTCCGCTCACTTCCCGTTTGTCTATTTTCTGCGCAACCATAGTCTCTTTTTCTCTTAATTTACAATGTGCTAATGGTGGTGATTGAGACTCGTGAATAATCCATGTTAGGTGACCGTGGCTTATGTGAACAAATGCTCTCAATGATGAGTGTTTTTTTTTTCATTCTCATTTAAATAACACTTGCTATTTGTATAGTAATCCATGTCATTTAGTCTAATTGAATCTCCTATCAATACTCAGGTGTCTTGTTACCTACCTTACTATCACCGGCAGCTGACATAATGATTCGTTCTGCCTCAAGCTAGTGTGTGCTAATGACCTGATCCCTTCACTCCTCTTGCCAGCCCTGTCTGCAGTATTGGCCAGAACCGGGGCTTCAGCAGTTTGGGCCTATGACAGTGGAGCTTCTGTCCAGAACTGCTGACGACGATGTTATTATCCGCCTCTTCCGGATTCAGAACATCACACGGGTAGGAGGATTCTCCACAAAATGGGGAAGGGTAGACTGTCTTATTTATCTGGCCATTTTAGATTTAAACTGGTATTTTAGTGTATTAATTTCAATTAAATTATTTATATATTAGCAAATCACAACAACAGTTATCTCACATCGCTTTCCAAAAAGAGCAGGTCAGACCCTACTCTGAAGTTATTTACAGAAGCCCAACAATTCCCACCAAGAGCAAGCACTAGGCGACACAGGCAAGGAAAAACTTCCTCCTAAGAGGCAGAAACCTCGAGCAGATACATTGGCTCAGGGAGAGAGGCCATCTGCCTCGACTGGTTGGGGGTGAGAGAGAGATGAGAAAAAAGGACAGAGGGAGCAGGGGGAGACAGCCTACACAGTAACATATAGAGGTAGAGACAAGTAAAGGTAGTGTTGCTATAGAGTGGATGAAAAATGGTACATATATTGATAGTAATGTTAATGATAAGGTTAACAGTAATAATAGCAATAGGACGAGGAACAGTAGTTGTAATTGTACCAGAGGGTGTCGTATAGGAACACAGGGGCAGCAGGAGACTCCCAACCACAAATCAAGACTGCACAGCTCCAGAAACACCTGCAGGAAATGAGAGAGAAGGGGAGGGGGGACGAGAAAGCACACGACTATGGGAAAGGGAAAAAGTCCAGTTAGTAACATGCATTAATGGGATGAGGTTGCACTCGTAGGGAGAGACAGAAGAGGAGAGGGGAGCTCTGTGCATCATGGAAATCTCCCGGCAGTTTAGGCCTATGGCAGCATAACTAAGGGTGGACTCACCTAAGCCAGCCCAAACTATAAGCTTTATCAAAAAGGAAATTAATCCTACTCTTAAATGTAGAGTATGGGGTTTTGTCCTCATGTAGCCTGGAGCCTATTTCTAAAAAAAAAAGTCTGGCCACAATCCTTACACATAATGTGCCGTCTGTATGAGTTCTTCTGGCACTATTTCATTGGTAAGCTGGTGTTGTTTTCTTACAAGTGGCACCTAATGTTAAAGGTGAAGACAGCCATATTACATTCACACCTGAGCAATGGGTAATATATATATATATATAAAAAAATATATATACACACACATACATTTGGTAACAGTACAAAAGAAAATTAATCATATTCATAACTGACACATAATATACAGTGTTTTGATGTTAACATTCGGTCAAACAAATTATGGCTAATTTCCCCATACGGATGTTAAGAACAAAGCAGGAATTCAGTGTTTTTCAGTGTTTTCTTGTTAATTCGTTCTTAAAAGTAGAAATATGAATTCCTCACTATTTGAAGAACAACTAATTTTCACTTCATAGTTTAGAGACAAAACTTCTAAAACACAACCGTGTGTTTATTTATTGACATATTGTTATTTTACATTCATGGTTTTGTGTCATTTAAAGTTAAAAGTTACATAGGAAGTTTATTCCTCCATGTGTTATGCATTAGTTTAAGTCCTAGTTTACCCCACAGCCAACACCACTGTGGGAAAAATCTGGATCTGAGTGCACTGTCATGTTTGCGGCCTTAGATAAATCTCTGAAAACTGTGGTCCATCATTGCATTCCATGAGGATGCTGCCTATTTTTTTCGTCTGTATGGAAGTACAACCGGCGTTATTCATTAAGAAAGACTGATCAAATTTCTGAGTTCCCTTGATACAGGATGATTCTGGATATGGTCAAAACCGCAGATCTTAAGACATTAAGATACTTTTTATTGCATCTGCAACAAAATGTTTTTTGTAGTTCTCTGTTGTCGAGGGAGGCTGTTCATTTGTGTCATTTTTAGAGGGTTAATGATTCCTGCTGGTGGTGTAATGATTTTTGCAGTGACCCAGGTCCCAGCTGGCATTCATTCCTCCCAGCAGCTGAAATAATTTGTGGTAAAATAGTCCTGATTTCAACAAAGTAGCTGTGTAGCCAACAAGCTATTTGCCACACATGATCCAAAAACCTGTTTAATAGGCTTGGACAATTCTGCTTGAACGGTTTCTTAAATCAATCACTTTTACAGTCGGCCAGTAAAATGTCCTTTGTTATAGCCATATCCAATGTTAGAGGAGGACTGGAGTAATTCTGTTACTGTTTAACATGCACTACTAACTACCCCAGTAGATCCACAGCACTCTCCTGTAGGTGTTTAGCTCATGTTTGTATGTCATTGAGACTCCTTAAGTTGAAAAACCCTCTTAGCTCCCTCAGACATTACATTTCCCTCACAGTGGCTAAAGCTTCCCCTGTTACTACCCTCATCAACCTAACCATCAGCAAAATATTTCAACATCACGTCAGAAACTGTTTCTACATGAACTCTCCACAGGATCCAGAGGAGACAGACCCCACAGAGCAGAAAACTGATAGACTCTGTCCCAACAAGGTATTCTTTTGTACAGTAGACAGAGAAAAAATGTCCTAAGTAGAATTATTGAAATAGCAGGTGGAACTACTGCTATCTGAATGCATTTTTCATGGTAGCACCGTCGCCTCACAGCAGGAAGGTTCTTGTTTCAATTCTGTGGGAGAGAAGGGGCCTTTCTGTGCATGTGTTTTTTACTTTATATAAAGTGCAGAAAATTGTTGAGCAAGAAACCCTCAACTCCATCAGCATGATGAACAAAGTTGTTTTGAGAGAAAAAGATTACATTTCTCAAATACTACCAACATTTCTCAGAAACAGTTTGCTTAAACTTCATTTTGTTCGAGTGACCACAGTAAAATAAGGGTGCTCGTTCACAGTCTTCTTCAGAGCGACATTTCATCCCTTTTTCCCTCTGCTCAACAGCCTGTTTGCATCCTCAAAGAGCCATAATTATCTGAATGATGTTCTTCTCTCACCGATGCACCTGCTTGTACTCAACATATGTCAGAAACTAGACTATAACCAAAGGTGGCCAAATAAGAGACAATATGAGATGAGTGAAGGACGTACTAACATTTCTATCTGGACAGGGAAAAGACAAACTCTGTAGTCCTTTTTACCTTATTATTTGTGCTAGGAATAGGCCGATAGCATCTATCTGCTAAGCCATTCATATAACAGATGAGACAAATCTTTGAGTGCATTAGTTTGATGGTATTATGTTATTATCCGCTTTAATGCCTGTTTAGTCCATCCGAAGTAAAGAACAGTTGCAGGACTGCACCCCTTTGAATCCCAGTTGGGATTTGTCAAACACGTAGGATTCTGTTTCTTTATTCTCCGCTTTTCCTCTCTTAAGCTTCAGGAAGGCCAGCTCGTGCTGCGTCACTTCCAGTTCTTGCGCTGGTCCCCATACCGCGATGTGCCAGACTCCAAAAAAGCCTTCCTTAGCCTTTTGGCTCAAGTACACAACTGGCAGAGGGAGTGTGGAGAGGGTCGTACCATCGTCCACTGTCTGTGAGTCTGCATACCCCTCAACTAAGCATTTGTCTTCATTGATGTAAAACTGAAACTATATTAGCACCACACAGCCAATTCACTAGTCTGAAGCACCAGCCAATCCACTTGACTTGTACTGGTTTCTAAGATCTGAAAATATGACATATCATTACATGATATGTAATAGCTGCTTGTTCTGTTTTTGGAAATATCACAAGATATTTAATATATAAAAAAATCACACTTCATTTACACCAAAAAGAAAAAACAGGTCAGCAGCTTCTCATTATTTAAATTTCTATATTAAAAGCCTTTAAAAAAGCTTTTAGAATTGCCTCTGAAGGCTGGATGTTTTGAATTTTCAGAACTCTGAAAATCCATACTGCATTCGCATTATCCACTGTTTATCTTGCCAGTGATTCAGAACTCGCCATGGTTACAGGATAGAAAGTCTTTATTCTCCACAGAAAATTGACTATTGTGTATTTTTGTATTATCGTTGCCATCTCAGGGCACTTTGCTCTGTGGAGGTCAGTGAGACATCTCGTATTAGATTAAATCCCAGCTTCTGTATTTTAATGAGAACTTTATTCAGATATTCATCTTCAAAGTCTGCCAGCTGGCCTTTTTCTGACAGCATCCTTGATCTATGCTTAGTCAAACTCTGACATTTCACTCTGTCGCTCCCCCTCTGAGAGGCTGTCAGAGCTGCTCTACCATGTCTTTATTAGGTCATTCATGTCTTTACGCCCCTCTCCTGTGTCTTGGTGTGTGTCTGTGTGTCTTTGTTCGTTTATTCTTTTGGAGCAGGAATGGTGGCGGTCGTAGCGGGACTTTCTGTGCCTGCACCATGATCCTGGAAATGATTCGTCACCACAGTATGGTGGACGTATTCTTTGCTGCCAAAACGCTGCGCAACTCTAAGCCAAACATGGTGGAGACGATGGTAAGAGAGCAGACATCTTCATAAATCTTGGATGCAAACAAAGTCCTTTTCAGAGAGCCACAGTTCGGTAACAAGACCAGATCTTAGATTAAATATTTTGAACCACCAAACTTGATGTTCGAATCATAAAAAAAAAGGAAATTTCAGTCTTTCACTGTATCAGTTATTATTTTATGAATAGAAATAATAGAAACACATTTATTTTTGGCTCCAGGGTTAATTAGATTAATTGCACATCCTTTTGAAGTTAATGTGCAGACTACGCTTGTCCTTAAAAAGAGGAAACCTTTTTGTTATAATTCAATGTCCATATTTCCATTAACTAAATCTTTTCTTCTTGTGACAATATACCCAATATACCAAAATCTACATGTCTGTGATGGGGACAGGCTACATCTTCAAACATACCCCATACCGCAAAATGGAAATAATTATGTCTGTATTTGGTATGAAGTTAATTCAATATGTGAAAAAGATCCAAACACTTTGACAAAGCAACAGTCTGCCTGTCGGCATCCCCAAAACCTCTAAATTGGTAGAGTGTAGGGTCTGTTTTAACACAGAGCTAATTAAATAAGTGTGAAAATACCAAAGTTTAGTTTTTGAGGGTGAAAGTATTTTTTTGGCAGGATGGTTTTGACGAATGGTGTCCCCTCATCAAGAGGGTGCTACAACGTTTCCAAGTCAGGAATTGTTAACGCCTCAAGTTTGATTTGGTTTTATTGCAGGAATGAGACAGACTGTTTAGTAAGCATGTTTTATGGAGGACTATGTGGTTTATCTTTACCCTACAATGCAATCACGTGTTAAAAGAAATACACTTCTGTCCTGTTTCCAGGAGCAGTACCGGTTCTGCTATGACCTTGCCCAGGAGTACCTGGACTGTTTGGAAGTCAGATAGCACCTATCCCTGTATTTTCACCTGTCCTAAAGGAAAAGGTCTGGATGCTGGATCCTGCATCCTGGATCTTTGCTCCTGCCTCCTTAGTCCTTACACACAGCTCTTGTTGTTGTCATTACCTGGATGAAACATACCTAAAGGGTGATTGAGAAGGTTCACTGGACCACTTGTAACATACTACTAATGATGCCCTTTTTGCTTAACTTAAGTTTTATGATCCTGCCCCATACTCTTCTGTGCCACTTTTCATCTGCCAAACCAGACTGTAACAGGAGTGAAGTAGACTTTTAAGAACACTTTAAAGGCTGCCTGGCTCTGTGACTTCCTTCTCGCCGAACAGGATTTAAAGAGCTCCACTATATCCTGCCTTACTATGAACAAATCCCGAAAGGGAATTCCAGTTGTTCCATCCACAGTGGGAAATTTTATGTTTGTTTGTAACACTGTAAATGGTGCAATCTGCTGTTAGTGAGCATCCCATGTCGTACTGTAATATATTTGAACTTTATTGTGGATGAGGGTGACGAGAAAATTAAACTGAGGGTGATAAAGAAAAAAGGACATGCTGTTTTTGAGGATGTGTCTGGTCTAATTTCTCTTTATTTATTCTTTCTGTATATAGAGTTTTGGCCCCTTCTATTGGGTGTTTTTAGATGTTCTCAAAGTCTTATCAGTGTGCCAATCCATGATCTCTGTGTCTATAACGGGTTAGGATTCAGAATCTGCATGCCCAATCTTAAGTGTTTCATTGCAGTGTGTGGCCCAAGTCTGCTTCTTGGTGGGTCGTGCAGCGTGAATCTCTCCACAAATCCTGAGAGACCGTCAGAAGAATAACCACGTGTCTTTGTGAGAGTATGGCAAAACATGTTGCTTTCTAGATTTGTATTTATTCAATGTGTTTTATTTTCTAATCAGTGTATATAACAGGAAAAGAAATAAAATATGCTGATACTTACGAGTCAATGCGTTTTGAGATGGTTTTTGTACGTCTCACGTGCAAAGCTAGAGTGATCTGACTTTGTTATTTTTTATTTTTACGTTCATCACCTCACAGAAATTACTTTATTTATGTAATGTGTAATGAATTTGAAAAAGTATTTCAACTTGTGCTCTGCATCATCAGTCTCTAAAGTAGATATGGTACATATGTAGACTACTTCAAACGTCTTAAGTTAAACACTTTACATTTCTGACTCATGTTTCATGTGTAAGCCGATTTTTTCATCGCCATGTCTGACAGGCTAACACACTTGTACAGAGCTTTTGCGCAAGTTAGCAGCACCTTAAAAGTGTCCCATAAACTAGATTCAAATTGATTAAACAGCATAAACACAACACAAATGTATCACAGGAGATACACTGTATCAGTAAAATAAGAGTGCATAACTGTGAGTGGATAGGTAGGCAGTTTTTATTCATTCATTCAGTTTTTATTCATTTTGGTAGCTTAGTTTGAAATGAAAACCACCAAACAATAAAGCACTTTGAAAATCTAATAAATAACATTTTGTGAGTGAAATAGCTACATATAAAACTGGCAACAAACAATGTGGAACACAATGCAGGGAACTTATTAAAGCAGAAATTATTTAGATTACATGTAAAAAAAAGTTGGTCGATCAATCCTAAAAACCAGTACAGTTGGGTTAGTGCCCGCCCCCGTGATTTAACCTTCGACTGTATTGTCTTGGCAGTAATGAGTTATTGTCCTGTGAGACAATGGCCTTTGTGAACTCTGAGGGATCAAGAACCTTTTCTTCTCAACAATTATGCTGTACCTTCTGCCAAACAACAACTCCACGTAATAAAGGTGCCACCACTGTGCATTTCTGCTGGGGTTGAATAAGAAAAGTGATAATCAGTACCTTGATGCTAATATTTACTCACTACATAATATTTGGTTGCTCAATATAAATCCTTTTTTTAATTGAATAAAAGGGATATTTTATGCCTTTTCAGAGAGAGTCTGCCATAAAAATTCAAACAGGAAGAGAGGAAAATAAAATAAAATAAAGTTTACCCTTTCTTATCATCAGATATAACTTAACTCCCCAAAGAATCTTCAACCTTACAAAATAGATTGATTAATCTAGAAGAAGAAAGGCCATTGGGTTCATTTGGACATTCAGTGAGGCAAATCTACTCTGCTCTGCTAGCAGCTTCTCTGATCTCAATGTTTCTTTTCTTTATATATTTATCTACTGTCAAATGTGAGGCTTTAAAGAGGAGTGTGTCTCTTTTAAAATGTAGTCCAATCATCCAAATGTTCCCCACGAAGGCTCTGTCAGGGTGTGAAAACATTTCAGAGATAGTAACAAAACAAACAGGAAGTAATCAAACAATTGCAGAGGCAGTCACAAATGCTCGTAATGTTATTTCTGTCAAGAGACAGAAAATGAACTAAAAGTGAGCCAATTACACATGTGTTATGTTAATCTTAAGGCCTCCTTTACTCTTATTCTTTTAAAGTAACAGATTGAAAAGGCGACTTTCCCATCACTCCACATAAATGCGCAAGTGCTGCATTCTCTAAAAGTTATTCTTAAACACGTAATCTTTGTGACAGAAAACTTGAAGATGGCCCCACACAAAGACCCCACCTCAGCCCACAGATTATTCTGCTGAAAAAAGCTTCAATATGCGCACTCTCGATCTGTGTCTTAATTTATTCTTATCATTTAATTAGTAACTTTAATGGCCTTTTTCTTAGAAAAAGAAAGAAAAAAAGATCAATCCAGCTTTTGGTAGTCAGCCAATTAGAGGGCCTTTTGATGATCCATTTATTGAAGGCGCAGCTCTTTTAATCTGCATGCAACGCTTTACAACCGATGTCACATCTGGTTGGTGTTTTCTATGAGCTGCTTCACTCTCTCCTGCCCTCCTAATATACTGTACTCCATCTGTGCACTTTTTAAGTGTGCAACAGTAATATTGTAAAGCATGCTAAAGTGTGTGTGGAGACAATGAGACAAATGAAGTCCAGAAATAGTTTCACAACATCTTGCAGGTCAGAGGCCAGGCCGGGCGATATTGTTTGGTTGTCTGAGTCGTCATAGAAGTTCCATTACCGTCTCACTATGTGTTTGAAAAGCAATAGACCTGCCTCGGCTGCATTCAAAAAGATGAAAAGCCCCATAATACCCGTTGGATGAAAAACAAAATTGCTATTGTGTGCAGAGCATAAAAGGACTGGGATAATTCTCTTCTTGAAGCATCTGTTTATGTCAGATTACATAAACCTAGGTATTTTTCTCTTTATGTTCATTTAAAAAAGAAAAAAGCAAACCTGACCCTCATCGCTGCTTTCTTTTTGAGGCTAAATTCTTCAGAGAACATTATGCGCCTCATTGTTCCCGCGGCTCTGTTTGTAATTACAGTAAAGCCATTGTTTCATGTTGAAAGACTCATGTTCAAGTACGGGAACTGAGACTTCCTCAGATGACTGAACGGAATGCAAAGTAGGATGATTGACTGAGAATATCTGAACATGCTTACCATGAGGATTTTGTTAATCTTTGAAAGGAAAATCGTCAATCGTCAACACAGAGAAAATGCTCAAGGTCACCAAATTTATGATGTGCTTCAGTTTATCGAAATAAGAATTATTCAAATACCTGTTTGTGTTCTAACAAGCTGAAAAGTCATTGTATGGGGTATAAGGACATTTATTCTTCAACACAGTTTAAACATTCTTAAGACAAGCTTTTTTTTCAATTAAATGAATATTTAGGTATAGTTCTCCTGACTCTTTCAAGGACAACTTCAACTTCAGTTCGCTGTTAGATGATCCCACACTGCTTCAATAAGGCTGAAAAGAATGTGGTAAATCTCAGATATTCAGTTCAGCCCATGTGTCATTTGGTATAGTTCAGTCACTTGCTCCTGTTTCTCTTTTCTGATGAGACTTCAGTGGAAGCCAACAGTCAACAACAGGCCACAAAGGTCCAGATGCTCCTCCCAAATCCTGTGTAAGGTTTGTTACTGAATTTATTTATTTTTTTTGGTCTTTCTTATTGACTTCTTTTTTCAGATAGACATTCTAAATCCATCTGCTATAGAAAGCTAAAGTGATCTGAACAATTATGTGTTAAAGGTTGCTGGTAGCCTTGAAGCTGGTGGCAGTGTTTGGCAGTTAGTTCTATCTCTACAGCTTTCCACATTAGTGGATCATTTGCCCTTCTTCCGCAAATGTATTTGTCACACCCTCCTACCAAGAGAGCATTCAGAGAAAAACTTGGTGGCCCACTTGATTGTTAAAATTCTCAATCATGAGTTGTTAATATCCACATAAGTGAGCAGTCGCTCCAAGCTGACTTTAAGCTAGTATTAAACAACAAAGGGTTCCTTTCCACCACATGATATCTGGTTTCAGTTTAATACTTCCTGAATGGGTGCTGCAGGATCTGAAAATACCTGGTGTGTTAAATCCACTGTTTTAGCAATTTCCCTGACCAGTCACATGCGTGTATCCTGAGCGCCAAACAGCCCGATGGGACTGTTTGGACAGATTCTGGCATCTGGGAAGCTGTGCACGGCAAATTTAAATATCCGTCTCATCCCATCTGCTGCTTTTAGTGAATGTGAAAATGTATTTGCCTCCACCCCACCTCCCACCCCCCTCCTCCTCCTCCGTTACTGATGACAAATTTAATTTGAGCTCACTTTATCTTCATGCAGATTCAGCTTATCTCTGACAAAGTTTTACATTGCATTAAATTAGATTGCTCTTAGCATGGATGTGGACCCGCAGCCCCTCTCTTCTTTTTAAACGGTCCAATTAAATGATTTCACACGGTCTGGAATACCTATTTCAAAATAGTAGGGGTGCTGTCAAGAAAAGGGGCCATTTTTTTTGGGAGAAAATGTCTTGTGGCGTGGAGCAATAATCATTGATTATTTTCTCACTGGAATGACGGAAATTCCAAAATGGTCAAAAGACAACGCACCAATTGGGTTTTCCTTTGACAGTGCAGAAAAACAAACAAACTAATGAAACTGTTCTCTCATCCAAAGTAAAAATCTATGACGGTAAGAAAAGTCAGGCATGAATCTTCAACAGAGCTCAAATACAGGCTACAGGGGTCTAAAGTGTTCAGACCTGCAAGGATCGGACTCATAGAATTTTTGCGAGACACCTAAACCTCAGTACATAATCCGGTTCTTTGTCCAATACTGTCAGGGCTTAATGCCACACACAAAGCCCTATCCAGGTATGTGGAAGGAATGTGTGAGCATAATGGGGAATCTCCGCAGGGAAAAAAACACATTTTAATGTATAAATAAATCCAATTGTAAATGTTGAAAATGCAGCATAAGGAGCAGTTCAGCCAACACTTTATTTTCACTTACAGTATGTTTAATCTGTAATTCCACTGAAATACTCTGTCACAAATCACTTTTCTTGTCTGCAAAAGCAGCAATGGTAAAGACATGAGTGTTTACACTGTGTTTTAAACACATGCACTTGTATGAGGAAATAAAGACTTCATTTCTGGCTCATTGTGCTCCTCTGACCTAAAAGAATAAATGCCTTTGGCCCCCATAATAATGACATTTAATAAACTGCAGTGGCTTATAGATTTTGCCCTCAAAAGCTCCAACATATTTTTTTGCCACAATGGAGGTAAAAACACATTTTGTCCAAATATTTTTTCACTAGGAAATAATAACCCCTATAAATACTGTGATCTAAATTAGACTCTGCCAGCTCCAACATATCTCCTTGTGGACCCACCTTATAAGCTCAAAAGCAAAGTTAACAGACAATAGTCCCCTCAGATAGTGAGTCCAAGTGATGAACATGTATCAATCTACTGTGCTGTTTTAAACTTCATTGGTAGTCCACATAACGTATGTCCAATACATATGGCGACAAAAAAAACATGGCTTGGAGAATACTCCCAAGTCTGTCCAGGATGTTGACATGGTGGAGTAGTGGCTGAAAAGAAATCTAGGATCAGTTTGGGTTTGGTTTCTGGCTCCATTCTGGTGTCTAAGAAACGCAGC